CGAAAATTTCAATAATCACGTTATTTATTAGGAGAAGAACTTGAAATAGATAAGATTATGAGGGTTCACGTAACTTGCCTTAACGATGAAAACGCAGAGTGTAAGTTTGATACTCGGTTTGATTAATGCTTCAAGTTATTTCGGTCTAATATGTTCCTTTCGCTTTCAGGTGGTAATTAGTTTCAAATGGGTTATAGCGATGCGCATCAATTGTTTGTTTGTTTTGCGAAATCTTTTCAATCATCCCATTCATTGGGCAAAGCGAATACGTCGATCCTAAAGTGGCTTTGTAGGCAAAGTTACGGGGTTGGAGGGGGTCAAAGAGCTGAAATTGGCTATACAATTGATTTACGGCTGAGAGAGTGTGTTACAATTAAAAGCAAATGTTAACCGTCGGCACTTTTTCAAGTTAAATTGAAAACAAAAAAAAGAAAGAATGAAAGAAAATAGGTAACAGCGCCAGTGGCACTCACTCGAAATAGTACAATTGCGTCCACTGTAACAAGCCGCCTTTCAATGCAAAACTTGCGAAATTGCATGTTCGCCACCCTCTCAGCCGCGGGGCCGAAACAAAAGAACCTTCGAGACTTTCTTCTCTCTTTCTTGCGCCGGCGCTGAGTAATAGCTAAGCTATCACGCCTCGTAAATATCTGAGCTAATAACCAAAAGCCAAGCCAACTGCACGCGCGCACAGTGGATATACAGGTGATCGATAAATTGGCCGCGGCCGATGTGTCGTTGCAATTAAGAAAAACGATGAGAAGGTAAATTACTCTCAGGTGCTCCCCCACCCTCCCCCACCCACCCCCCGCTGCCGTCGTAAATAGCCTTTCCGGAAAACCACCGAAATTTCGTGTATGCCGAGGCAAAGCGCTATATGCAGACAACGCTCCAACGCTCCATTGTTCCACACACCCACTCTCTCTCTCTCTCTCTCTCTCTCTGTCTCTCTCTAATTTCAGCGCCAGGGTTACAGCAGCCAGCAGTCTGGAATTCAGCTGGGTCAGCGCGGCTTGAGTGGCGTGTCCGCGTTTTAGCAACACTATAGCCTTAAACCGATCAGCCGTGACAATAATTTATATACGTCGTCCACTCTTTTTCTGCTCTCGACTTTTCTCCTGCCGCTGTTTTGTCGCGGGCGCGCGTGATTGAGGTGATGGCTTTTAGAGCTTGATTTACCGCAGCTGGAGAGCGCCAGAGCAATTATTATTTCGCCTGATGCTGTTATTTATTCACTTTATTTTTTGAAGGGCAGCTTTTGCGCCTCTTTAATTCGCCCGTAAAATTCATATCATGGTTTTAATGCATTCTCGGTACGCACCTTCGCGTGCCCTATAATAGTATTATCCATGAATGATTATATTACTACGATAATTGGAAATGCGGGCTGATAGATAGATAGAGAGAGAGAGAGAGAGAGAGAGAGAGAGAAAGATGATCTTATAATAGAAATCTTAACGTTCAAGTTTGATTAACGAAATGTTATCAGAGTATCTTGAATAATATATACGTGCGTTATCAAAGCTGTAAGTTCCTAATGAAGAAACTTCGTGTACATTGGCTGACGTGCATCACGGCATTCCGAGTAATAGTACTTAATTTCGAAATCTTTTTTAACGAGTTGGATCGCGCGGTTTTTGCTATTTTAGTCGTCATTCGTCCAAGAATTCATTTACAATTCCAACGAAATTTACATCGAAACAAAAACCATGCGCAAAACCGTTCCTACGTGATTCGCAACGAAATCCCTGCCATCCGCACCGAGCACCTACAGAGTGCCTACCAAACTCACGGCATAAAATTACGATGCGCTCTTTCGCGGCTCAAAGGCAAATTCCGAAAATATGAAAATCCTAGAACAAATCTCATTACGGCCTCTCTCTCTCTCACGCCGCTCAAATGCACGCTAACTGATCCGTAAGGCTTTGAAACTTTTGCTTGAAAACTCTGCGCGCGTGTCGGTCAAAGAACTCGGTCAGCTATACATCTCCCACTGACAAAGTATTAACAGGATACCCACATCATATGGGATTCTAGTGGTCTGGCAATCAGTTAGCGATTCTACCACGTTCCTACCGCGCGTCCGCCTCTACTGCGCTTTGCGAAACGAACAATTGGTAATTGAATCAGGCGTCGCGCAGCATTGCACTTTGTTGTGCTCTAAAAGCAACGATCCACCGCACTTCTGGTCGCTCCTATTGCCAGCGTGCGTTAAAAAATAAATGGGAAAATTGTTTACTATTAGCGCGTCTCTCTCTCTCTCTCCCTCTCCACCTCGCCAAGCTCGAAATCGAGATAATTGCAAGTGCAAACGATATTTTGGCTCGGCACACGGAGAGCCAATTTGGACATGATGAACTAGCGACATCAGGCTTGCGCGCGCTCTGCCGTAACGACGTAGCAGTGCGGCGCTCCTCGAACTTGATGAGAAATTCAGTCGAGAACGGCTATATTACTTTAGCGCCTGATTAGTTGATCTGCCTATATATAAGTGCGCATTTGTAATTATTCGACAGACCCTCCCCCTGCCGTTGCTCGAAGTCGCTGGCAGCAGACTCTGTCCGTGAATAAGTGATCGCGCTGTCGTTGAAATCCAATTGGCGAGAGAGAGAGAGAGAGAGAATGCCGAGACACTATCTTCGCGCACGGGCTTTTAATAATACATTGGCCAATCCTTTTTAATTCGATCAAATGTCATATTCGTACGTCGCAGACGAGCAAGCGAGGATATATAATTTTATGCGCGAATCACGAAGCAAAATCGATAAGATGCTCTAGCATTTAATGCGATTGCGGAAAGGTCATCAGTCTCTACGAGTATCGACAATGATTATTGGATTATTTTTCGGTTCGTCTAGTAATCAATGTAAGCCGACACGAGGAGGGTGGACCGTGAGATCCTTCGCTTTAGTTGCGAAATAGAGGGGAGGGAGAGAGCGATTTGCCTAAAACCAAGCTAGAAGTATTTCAATTAAACTTTGTAGAATGAAACGCCAGTACTTTGAAGCATTACATTTTTACAGTAGGCTCTCTCTCTCTCTCTCTCTGCCTCGGCTGCAATAGCTCGCAAAAAGTATGTTATATGTGGTATTTTTAAGATATTCATCGTTTCGATCGCGACTTGTTTCTTTCTCGTCACACTAGTGTGTCACTGACTTTTGTATTATTGGTAGGAATCGATTGCCGACATTTGGCGAGACTTGTTGGCGCGTTCATTTGACATTTGTTCAGCGATTAGCTTGTAATATCGATTACGTAACTATTGCTTGGAGAAGAGCGAGGTCGTGATTCCAGCCAGATTAATCTACGACTCATTACTCCATTTGTCATTTTTGGATAGTCCCTTTTCCCTATCTCTTCATTATAGTGATACCTTTCTGCTCTGCGCAAATATTTTGTTATTCATTTTCGATAATATCTCGTTCGATCACTATGCCCTTCACGCATTAATTTCCAGAAAGTCAAGGAAGTTTTCATCGATAACAAAATAAGAAAAATTAGGGCAAAGCGTCGACTTATTTTTCATCATACGTTCCCCCAAAGGGTTCAATATCCCGTGGATATTCGTCTTTCTGGCGTTGAATCCAGAGCATACTCTCTCTCTCTCTCTCTCTCTCTCTCTCTCTCTCTCTCTCGTAGGAATAGATGTATGCGCGAATCTGTAACCGGTGGAGAAAATTATTCTCATACATTACGCACGGCGTGATCAGTCATATCGAATATCATTAGAAAAAAAATGTGACTTCTATTTCCACTCACGATTCTACACTTCTTCCATTTCTATTCGTATTCAGGCTCATCTATCACCGCGGCTGGTACGTCTGACGAAAAGCGAGCTCTACTACTTGCTCAACTTGAGGAATTCGCGTATACGCAAGCGCAAGCTCGAGTTTGAATCATACATACAGACTATCTATAATCTTAGCTGCACAGTGACGAAGCAAAAAAGCTCATCAGGATCCAGTTATTATAATGTTATCAAAGCGAGGTGAACATGTATGCGAGAGTGTGCGAGAGCGCGAAGTGCGAGTGGGGGTAGGGGGGGGGGGGGGTCAGCCGAGTAAAACGATAGCGTAAAATAGGTCAGCAGGCCACTCTGAGCTCGACATGCTCTCTGTGTATATGCACACGTCGATATAGGACGCACGTCCCTTTTGCACATCGCGCTCTCTCCTTGGATAAACACCGCTTGGCCTCTCGCTACGAAGGCCAATCGCCCGGAGAAGCGATCTCGCGGCTGGTCGTCTTTGGCACACGTGCGGGCGCGGGCATGTAGGAGTGCGCCGAGGTCGGTGATAGTTGGCGTAAACAGCGCGTCGACATCGTCTTCGGCGCAGGTCAACCACTTGTGTGCGTGACCGCGCCTTAACCGCGCGTACATCGGCAATAGTAGCAGTACCACTGCCGCCGCCGCCCTACGGACACGCCCGCGCGCACGCACGCACACACACATGCCCGCGCGCACGCACACACACACACACGCACGCACGCACGCACACACACACACACATAGAGCTGCTTGGGAGAAAAACGAATGGGTAGCTAGCGCGTTATATACGTATCTCGTTTTCTGGCGTGTGGCAGTGGAGGCAGCGTGGGCTGGGTTAAGCCGAGAGAATGAAAGAGAGAGAGAGAGAGAGAGAGAGAAAGGACGCGGCAACGCAGCATCCACGCCCGATGTTCGCGAGTCAAGTCCACTCGGAAAAAGCCAAGCTGCTGATGCTGACGATTCTATCCTTTCTGTCTGATTTCTAAATAAACTCCGACAGCAAGGGCTCACACGTCGATAGAAGCAGAAGCAGAAGCAGAAGCAGCAGCAGCAGCAGCAGCAGCAGCAGCAGCAGCAGCAGTAGTAGCAGCCAGTGGCCAAAGGTGCGCGCGCGCGCGCGTTAGAGCGAAAATAATTCCTTTTCCCTTCCATCCTTCCCCCTCCCCCTGCCGCTGTCGATGATTTTTTTCTTTTTTTTCCAAAAGCGCGATCGCTAATTAGCCACACTTACACTTTAGCTGTAGCTCTGTCTCGTGCAACGTCATCCACCGTCAAACCAAAAAGCGGCAAAACAAACACACTTTGGTGCACAACTGTGAGAAGAAGGCTTTGAGCACTGACACTTGCAACGACCGGACTGACAGCGACGACTGAGACGACGGGGAGTCGAGAGCCCTAATGATAAATGCTCCCCCTTGTTTTTGGTCGCCGGAAAAACCGACGAGAGCGAGCGAGCGAGCGAGAATGAGAGAGAGAGAGAGAGAGAAAGAGAGAGAAAGTACGAGGGCGAGGAGCGTCGCGCGACTGCGGGCGTCTCTCCCTCTCGATATCAGTCAGAGCGCCCCCGGAGGCTGTGCGAGCTCCACTGCGACTGTGCGGACCGACAGAGGGGGTAGCTATACAACACACGCTCCCAAAGCTCTCCTCTTCTATATATCGCACAGACACGCTCCTTCCCCCTCCCTCTTCTCCCGAGAACAACATTTTCATCCCACTCTGTGTGGGCATTTTTTTCGCGCCTATACACATTTGCCCCAATCTGTCAAAGGGGAGAATGAAAGTGCGTTTAGTGTACAAGTGCCACTAGGATTTTTCGAGTGCACTGTGTTTTTTACGAGAATGCAATAGAACTTGAAAGAGAGATGTTCCGGAAATTGAAGGATTTTTTTTATAATGTGAATCGAGAAGTTAATTTGTCGCCCCCGCGCACAGCTCAAGCTCTATTTAATTACACATAAATGTGTTTAATTGCCTCTCTCTCTCTCTCTCTCTCTCTGTCTTTCGCTAAAATATACCGTAAAATCTTATTCGGAAGCTCTTTGCTTTGCTGATGAAGTTCCAAAGAAATCTTTTGACAAAAATTTAAAAAAGCAGTCTCGATGATTGTCAAATATTGACTATTGTGCGAAGTTTTTCGTAAATAGACGAGGCGTCATGCACGCGAAAAGAACGCTGAATCTATACCACGTATAAACAGCATTAGTTTTGTTTGCAACATTTTCTTTGTCATCTGCAGATTGCAAGGAAGGATGAATTGATTGGGTAGAAGAGTGGAATTTTTTATACTTTCAAAAAAACAAAAAAAAAGGACGAAGAAGAAGAAAAAGCGTTGATCGCTTTTCGCTTAGAGCTGCGAAAGTTTTTCTTACCTTGCAGAAAGTTGGAAAATTGTTTACTTTTGACTTAATTCTTTTTATCGCGTTTCTCGAAGTCTAACAACAATGAGCTGTTCGAGAAGGCAAGATGAGGGGAAAGAGCGCCGAAAGAAATGATACTTTCCATTGGAAACATATCGTGAATTATTTCACACACGCACACGCACACATACACACACAGACGGGGAATGGGTAATCCGATAAAAGGCACGATTTCATACGTATACGTAAGTTTTACACACGCCATCGCGAATAGCACACAAACTATCGGATTTGGCTTGAGAGAGCGCGCGGCTGTGAGTTTATTGGTGAAACATGTGTTTTCGATGAGCGTTATTTCAAGTTTACGAGATTTGCTCTCACGAGTTTAAATTAATATTCGGTTATTTTGAATCGAAAATGCATTCTCGTTCGCTCGCCGCAGCCGCCGCTGCGGAACTTTTCTGCAAACAGATTTCGTTGCCTCGCCGACGAGACGCGTTACAATGAAAAGCATTGTAACGCGCAGCTCGAGCCCAAATAATTTCGATTGAATGCGCGCCTTCGGGCAAGCTCTTCCATCGGATTTCCGAGAACTTTGGTTAATTCGTCTAATATCTGCAGGCGTGAGTTTTGCAATATTTCCATGAAAACAGTTGGGAATAGCTCAGATACATATATACATGAGACGGTAAGCCTCGCAGTCTGGCTGTACGTTACAGCAGTTTTCGCGGGGCGAGCGTTCATGCAAATGAACTTGAAAAGCCTCCACTACTACATAACATCAAAGCCGTAAGTTCACGCGCAAAAATCATTTTAATTATACACACACGATCACCGTATTAGCTCTCGTATGCGTGTCGGCTGTCTGCCAAAGCGCATAATTTTCGAATAACCCGATTGGAAATGTACATATCGTTCGGAGAATGAAAGAGGATTTTAATTTTGGGCAAATAAACGCTACACCAGGGCGAACATTTACAGCGGGAGAGAAAAAAGGCGTTATCGCGTCTGGCTGCAAGAGAAAAGTGGAAGATTATCTTGAGGGCGCAGAGAGAGAAGAGAGAGAGAGAAAGGGCACGCGTGCTCGTGCGCAAAGATGGAAATAGCGCAGCGCTCGCGAAGAGACGGAAAAAGTAAAACTCGAGGTAACGGATTTTCGATCACCGTTTGCCGCGTTACGTTAATAATTCGCGTGGGCTTGCGAAAGAGAATACGGAAAAAGGGGCGAATGGCGCATAAAAAATTACGTTTCCGCGAGATAAAGGGAGAGAACTCACTGTCCAGCGAGATCAAAAGAGAGAACGTTAAAGATCGGGTAATAGAGTTCAACTTGTTCGCCGTCAATTTTTGCGAAAAGTCCCGATGGGCAAAATCGTTACAGTTAATATGCGCGCACGAATGGAAAAATTTTTAATTGGACGCGGAAAACGCGAAACAAATGAATAATTCGCCGACACAAAAAGCGAAGAATTTTCTCCCTTTCTCTCTCGTGAATGATGAAAGCCTCGGAGCAAAAAAGAATTGTATGAGAGTGCAGGGAGAGAGAAAGAGAGAGAAGTAGTGAGTACACTTCAACTGGAGTGAGAGAGAGAGAGAGAGACAGAGAGAGAGAGAGAGAGAGAGAGAGAAAGAGAAACGAAACATATGACAACTAGTGCCGCATGCGCCTCGCGAGAGACGCGAGAGGAGGGCTGTTAATTAAAGATAAACGCTCGGCGAAGTATCTGGCGTCGCCGCGTCGCGTGGCTTTCCGCCTGTTTAAGACGCAGCATATTTTCCTTTTCGTTGACTGAAAAGAGGGCGGGGCGAGGGAGAGAGAGACGCAAGCAATTAGAGTCAGTCTGCTATTCTCGATGACAAGCGCGCGAGCGTTCTTCTCAACGAAACATGGCTATTCTAATTGTTTTTCTCTTCCGCTCCTTTTGCGTCGACAGCGAAGAAATCAATCGAAGGGATTGACTATAAAGAGCTGCCCGAATAATTGCCCTGGTGAGTTTTAAAAACTCGGGTCGCTGAAATTTCTTTGACGCGTTCATGCCGTCTTCTGTTCTAATCGTATCGCGAGCTACATTTCGGAGGGATTATGTAAAGCGAAGTTGCGCCGGAGAGATCAAAGCAACAAGGTTTTTCAGTTTTTATAATAAATGAAGATCGCAGGTATTTCCAGAGAGAATTGAGCACATGTATTCGGGGAAAAAAAAAGAATCGTGAAATAACGTACTTTGGTTTCTCTTCGAAAATTCCTACGGTGGGTGCTTCTCTCGTACAATATTGACATACCGAGATAATAAATGTCTTTACACAAGAACCCCACTTATAATGTATATATTTTATAAATATGTACATTATTCAATAACATCTTTCTTCAATTTCATTAGACACTTGTTGATAAATTTATCACGACATTGACGCATACTAATCACTCAATTAAAACAAAAAGATTCTTGCGAAATTTCTATATATGAGAATTTACTACAAGAAAATTGAAGTACGACATTCGTCCAGTAAAAGATGGTTCCAGCTGCTTTGACTCGTCCGTTTACCGGAGCATCGATTCTTTTTAAGCTTTCGGTGTAATTAAATGTTCACGCTCACCAACAATCAATATTTAATCGAATCTCTTTTTTTCTCGAGTTCAATGACCTGCCAAAAGCTATTACTTTTTTCACCCTTTTTATAATGAGTGATACTTTCACTTATTGTTTCTTTCGCGAAAATTGCTCTAACGAAAAATAATCCGCTTTTTCTCGTATATACGTATAACAAGTGGGAGCTCAACATCCCTACCGTCATTTTTTTTATCTTTCAAAAGCCAAGACGGCGCACTTTCAGCTGATACTTACAACTATATATACGCTATTCGCGCTCGCAACGAACTCATAACTACGACTTGAGCTATCTCGTGAAAAAATAAAAAAGTAAGGCTCGGAAATTAGTGAACGACAAATACAACAACAAAAAATAATAGAAAGGGAGGGACAACCTGTGCCAAATTAAAAGCAGGAAGATGTCGACGGAGAGGAGGAAAATAAATAGCAGAGCAAAGAGCGAGAGAGCAAAGAGTGAAAAAAAACAGTGGACTGTTGACGACGAAAGGAAACAAAAGGAAAAAAATAGCAAAAGAAGGAGAGGCGAGACGAGGTCCAAGTGAGCGTCTGGGTAAAGTGAACATTCACATTTTTCACGAACAAATTTGTGAAGCTTTATCTCTTTGCTCACTACTAGCGAGGGGGGGGGGGAGTAAAAGGCTGGATAGAACGTTACTTTGAAATCGCTTTCGTTCTGCACGTGAGATATAAAAGCAGTTTTTTTCCCCCGGAGTTAACTTATGAAAATGTAATTGTTTTGAGAGCTTTTTTTCTCTATGATCCTCTTGAACGGTAGAGCCTCGAGTCTCATCAATGAGGACGTTGCTGCAGTGAGTATATTTTCCGGTTGAAAAAAAACGAAAGAACGGCTGATATTTCCCACGCTCACGAAATTGAGGTGGCCGTGGATTTTCTAGCTGGCGCGAACGTTGCAAGGTAAGTAGAGAAAGTATGTTTAATTATATCTGATACTGAGAGTCGAAATCTGAATGCGAAATCTGCCGGCGAATTAATGAAGATTTAATAAAGCGCCAGCAGCTGCGAGAAATTGAACAGACGAAAGAGGGCAATTTCGTTTGCTACGTACAGGGTTTCAATTAACAAATGTAATGGCATCATTGGCTTCGATATGGATTTGCATTGTCAAGAGCAATCTAATCGCAGTGTGTGTTTGTGAGAAGTCAAGCGAATAAAATGGCGTAATATAATACGTCGCATCGGCGAGGGAGAGCAAAAGTCCTGCTGGGATGTATCCCACGGACATTTTATCCCGGAGATCGCGTCTGCTCCAAGAAAAGCTCTCCAGTCAGCTCATTTATATTTAACGTTTCCGCTGTCATCTCTGCAATAAAATCAAAGTAACAAGCAGGACAGCGGTCTCGCGAATGAATTTTAAAAAAAGATATAAAACGGAAAAAAACAAAAAGTAAAATAAACAGACCGGAGGACTTTACGCGGCGAAAACGATCGGTCGAACAAGTAGAGACGAGAGCGTGCGCTGAGGAGGACGCACGCGCGCGCGCGCGCGGGAGTAATAGGACTAGGGCGTGGGCCGCTCGCGCCGGGAGAGAGCTGCGGACTACTACATTGATTTTGATTTTCGAAGGCGCGCGCACTTTGCTCGCTGGTGTGGCCCGGCCCATTCATACTTACGCGCGCTCGCCAGCAGCCGTTTTTTCATCCGCGTGACGCTCTCGCGTGCAGGATCGGCTCTGACGGAGGCGAAACCACGACACACTGACGCGCGAGAAAAGAATGCTGCGTAAGCACGTGACTGATGGGCGCAGGCCCCGGGCGCATTCATCGAGGGGCTCTACGTCTTGATGCTCTGCGCGAGCTTGCTCCGAGCCTAACATCATCATTTATTTATTTTTCTCTGAATGGGCTGCCGAACGTACGATGTGCCAACTTATTGTTTCGTTCTTTTCTCCCTCTCACCGTTTTTTTTTTTTTTTTTTTCTTTTCTTTTTTGCTCGAGGCTGTCTTTTATACCTACACAACGTTTGAAATTGCTGGTAAATCGTGAACGGCAAAGCGAAAGCATTGTTCGGCGAAAAGAAAGAAGACGCGCGTTTCACACAGTTGCGCGCTCGGAATTACATATTTAATCGAATTTATAAATAGAATGTCATTGTCCATTCAAATTTAGCACGTACGAGACGATAAATGAACTCGGGAAAACTTTTCATCGCGGCTAATAATGAATGCCACGTTACGAATATCAATCGAACAAGGAAGGGGGGGGGGAGATCAATGTAGATCAACAGAAGAATTAGAGCACAGCCCTCCCTGCTGTGTTTTCGCATCAAATCAATGGAGACATTGAAAAGCCAAACGCCAACGAGAAAGAGAGAGAGAGAGAGGGAGATCGAAAGCAAACAGGGCTGTTCGTTCGGCCGATTGTTTCGCGAGAACGTCAAACAGTACCCATTCAGCAACCCTTATGCAGTCGAGGAACAAACGAAACGAAAGCTTTGCTCGCGCAAACAAAGGATTCTCGACGAAAAGGCTCGGCGAGGGGGCATTCAATGCCGAAGAAACGGCAGCTCGCTCGGATCAAACGAGCGACACGAGTCTCGTCGGCGTCGTCATCGTCGCGAGCGCGCGGCTCAAGTGGCAGCGATATCGCTCGCGTGACTCATCCCCCGCCGGAGGCGAGACATGCCTCAGCCGAGCTTTCGCTTCCTTTTCCACGCCGCGCAGCCGAAGGAAATTGATCGCGCGCCGCCCGAGCTTTTACGAGCCGCTCGAGCGCCCGACGTGCGGAATTCACTTTTACACGCAAGCGAGCTCCCGGACGCGACTCGTTCCCGGCCTACGCGGGCAATCGGTCTGCCTTTCTACCCTTTCTACTGCGTCGTTTTTCAGAAGAGCCGCGCTCCGTGATCGCGGGACCGTCGGTATTTGCGAGGCTTCGCGCGCGCTAATTGGAACTGCAATTGTCGGTCGCACCGAGCCACGTGCGCGAGGAGCTTTCGGTGTGCGCGCGTGCAAGCGGGAAAGGAAGAGCTCTCTGACGCCTGTGATTTGTGGGACAAAACAGGAAGTCGCTTATCCGCCTCGCACGCGCGAGTAAACAAAGAAAGGCTCTGTGCACTGCTGCACCGTCGAGCTATATAGCAAGTGGCGGCGACGGCTGCAGCAAGCACAAAAGTTTGACGGCCTTATGCGCGCGCGCGCGCGCGTGTGTGTGTGTGTGTGTGTATGAATGCCGACTGTAACAAACTAGACAAAATGACTTGAAACTACCGCGAAAGAGACGTGAGAGATAATTGCAGGGAGTTTCAGGTCACGCATGAGATTCATTTTTTTAGCGCGATTCTTCATTCTTGCGGCTCGTTATGTCGCGGAAGAAATTCGATTATACGTGGGCGTAATGTGATATTTTCACAATGAACACCGAGTTACAGTTGGCTCTGGCTGATCAAAGTCGGCACTATCTACTGATTGCTCATGCCATCGACTGTGAGATAGCAAGTAAAAGCTCCTGACTGCCTTATGGTTCGCGGGAATTTGAGGACATTTAATCTTTGACGTGCTTATAGTAGCAAAAAGATTGGGTTAATCGACTGAGTGCTTGTAACAAATTACTATTTTTATTGCTAACGATTACGGTGAAAGGTTGCGTGGAACGAGTGCATCGAGCAGTGTTTCAAGAAAGACCTCGTCAAGAAAATAGTTTGCAAGAGAGCCTGAGTACGCATCTGGAAAATGGATTTTCAGTGTTTCGAAATTAGTCGATACGAAATGTATATAGCATCCCATCGCCAAACTCAATAACGAATCAATCGAAAATTACACTCGTTAACGTTGGGAATATCGCGGAGAGCGGAAAGTCCAGGCGAGCAAGTTTTTCGATAAAATAGCTTTTTCATTTTTTTTTACGCTGTTTGCGCTCACACTCGTGTAACCGACGAAGTTATCTTAGCTGGCGGCGGCAAGTAGTCGATGATGCGTTTTAGTCAGGCGCGCTGTTTTCTCGTATGCTGGCCGCGACGCAAATATTAAACGCACAGAAAAAGGATAATACAATGACAATGTTAGCGACAACGTAACAGGAGATTCTCTTACATCTATGCATGCGCGTCATGAGAGATTGGCTGTACGTAGACCCCCCGCGAACTGCATAACCATAGGTGTCATGTACGACCTGTACACAAAGCGATATGTACGCTCTGCTCAGCCGGCAAAACATTAATTACTTGTCCTCTCCCCCTTGCTAATTATCAACTTTTTGCACTCTTCTTTTTTATAAAGTGACAGCTGTCATGCAAGAACATACATTGATAGGAATAAGTTCGCAGCGACTTTGTTTTTAATTTATTTTGTTTTTTTTGTTGGTTTGCTAATTTTAGATCGTTTCAGTGTTTTTGTATTATTACCATTACAGTCATTGTCTCAGTCAATTTTCAACATTAAGTGATTTGTTGGGATGTTGGTCATGACATGGAGTTGCATTGGACTTTATGCGTAGCGTATAATTAAAATTTCTCGAATCAAAATATTTTTCGTATAGAATGAAATACTCTACTGAAAATTTAAAAAAATTATAATTGTTACAAAAATTATACTTTGCAATTTCTTTTTTGAATTATATGAGCCACGGCAAGTTGATACTACTTTTTTATTTGATTGGGTTTTACACTAAAAAGATAAAAATACGTGGATCCACAACGTTTTCTAAATTGATTTTGGAGTAATAATTCCTTAGTTCATATGAGAATATTTCTCATAAATAGTTAGTATTAACCTTTTCATTGCTAAAGGCGTATATATAAGCTTTCACAAATCCATTAATTTATACGAAAAGCGTATATACGCCCTCTATTTTTAATTTTTTTACCATTATTATTTTTCAAACCCTAAGAATAAGATCTAATTTTCGGAACTTGTCGCAGCGACTGACAAGCGAAAAACGCGCCGCCCATATAGATGGATTTATCCGATAGTGCGCCGCAGTCAAAGGGTTAAATTTTTTCAGGAACGTGGAAAAATATTTTATATTTTGAAAAATTATTGATAATTAAACCTAGATGCGCTTGAATTTTTAATTAATTTTGAGACATAAAGCGAAGGGAATTAATGACTATACGTGTATCTTCTTACATTTGTAGTTTATTTTTGTTTTATAAACATTGCCGTATAAAATTGTTCAATTAATATTTAAATCAAGTGAACTTAAGCATTGCTTTAAAAAATGGAAATCTTTTATAAAGATCATGATGAAATGAATGATTACAAGATTATAAAATTGTTTAGTTACGTAAAAGAAAAATCCGAAAGTAAAATATTTTTGTAACCGACAGTTTGTTTTTATCATGTTGTTTCGTATGTCTGTTGCATTACAAAATATACATAATTTGCACTATTTTTTATTCAAAAACGAAGGTAACGCATTGTAAATATTCGTTTTCTGCGCCTGATCATCGAAATTTCGCGAAATTCTCCAGAAAACACCCTATACGAAACCTGCGTCAAAAGAGTGAAGCTGGATTCTTGGCATCGCAATAATCGGTGATACAATATTGTGCTTCGCCATTACGTTTGTGAGAACACATTAACGAGTAAAACGTCGTTTCGCGCAGACGTCCTCTCGACACTTTATTTACTCATTAATAAATATGTATAATACCTACGTAGCAAAGACCCTTCACGGCAAGGGTAGTGACGGCTGCGCGTACAACAATTACGTACTCGCTTATGTGTATATAAAATGACAATTAAAGGCGCAATAGAGTTAAATCACATGAAAATGCCAAAACCGAAGGTTCGCTTAATTGATTCCCAGTAATATCGTTCCCAATTTTTTTTCGTTGAATCTTCCTCGCTGTAACAAAAAAAAGAACGTACGATTCAATATTCTAGTATAATTAACCAATTTATGAATTATTAAATTATATCAATTAAACAAAGTTAATTTACCTCACAGGAACTCCAGTCTGCGTTAGATTAACTTCTGTATGGTCACTTTTTTCAGAGATATCCATAACTACGTTACTGAAATGTCCAGCAGGCCATGATCTGCATCTCCATTTTTGCACAATTTTCGTTGGCGAAAGTTCTACGAACTCTCCATAAATATTACCACCAAAGAATTCAAATTTGCCGTCCTTCTTGGCTTCAAGTTTTACCGGACCTTTCGTAAATGCCACCGCCATCTGCAAGCAACAAAATGTTATGGATATAATCAAATGACCGACCAAGTGGTTTTTACAGTAATATTACCAACCTCAGATATTGTCATGACATTGTAAAACTCTTGCGCTCTACACATAAACTTTTGTTGCTGTTTTACTGTCGTAGTAACGACTTTGCAATCAACAGATTGATTATTATTTGAATTAATAGTAGCATTCATCTGCATCTGTAAACGATATTTAATATTATATTTCGGTGTTCATTAGTAGAGAATAAATAATAATAAATAATTAATGAGAATATTAATGATATCCATTGCATACTTTGCTATTGAAACCTGATGTTATGTTCGTGATGTTATCTTTCATCTCCTCTTTCTTTGGAAGAATCATACCTTTAGTAAACTCTAAAATATATCATAAGAAATTAGATAAATTTTTAAGACTGTATGAAAAATCTACTTATTTGAAAACCTATCTAAATACATACCTTCTTTCAAGCTTGATACATATTGTTTCAGTTTTTCTCTAATACTCTCTTTCCCTTTTGTATGCAAGAGTTGCTTTATGCGTTCTCCTTCATCTGTGCTATCTTTAAGAGTGAATTCAATCTGAAAATGAAATAAAATTAGAATTGAAAATGATTATTGAAATAAATTATCAATAAATATCAATTGAGTTTATCAACATACCTCCACTTCAGATATTTCATTTTCTTCCGACAAATTAGGAATATTAATTTTACCTTCAATTTTCTTTTTTGGATCTTTCTCAGAAGGACATTTCCATTTGAGTACAATGTTCCATTCATAGAAGAATATTAATTTTCCTTTTCTGTTATTCGCAACCGCTTCTCCTTCACATTTCTCAACTTCAAAAATCTTACATTTGACTAAGAAATAAAATTATTTACCAGAGTTATAAATATGTTATGCATATTTTAATTTAAAAATAATTTCTTTTATACATACAACCATCCCCTTCGATGATGGCATCCTTGAAAAGATCCTTGATCTTTTCTTGTGACCAAGCACATGCATTTTTCTCAGTCCTGGCAAAGAGAAAATGATATTTACTTGTTAGTTGACTCAGTAATATAAAGTAATATTTAATCATTTCACAATAATTTGTAGTTCTTTGATTAATGTATAAAAAGTAACAAATTAACTGGGCATAAAGATTTCTTGAATATTTATTATTCTTGATTTTATTGAACTTTTCAATGAAAACAAAAATAATAAATATTAATATTTCATCATTGGATCTAGAACTTTCTAGCAAATTCTTTAAGTTGCCATCATCATTAACAAATGATACACAAAAAATTGTTCATGGATTAAGTTAAAAGAACATGATTTTTACAACCAATATGATTTAGATAGCGAAAAATCGAATGCTTGATAAATAAAACATACCAATGCCAATTGTTGACATTAGTGGCATCAGGCCTTTCCTCAACAATCCAACGTGGATCACCTTCACCCCACTTAGCCATATTTTCAAAACTGCTGAACTTGAAACGATCTCACAAACTATCACCTTGAAAGCCTGCAAGGAATATTAAGTCAAAAATAACCGTCTATCATTCCTCTACTTCCTTATGCATAGAAAACCTCATAATGCAACCGCAAAAGGAAATAAAGAATCATGTAACTGACAGAATGACCAATTTCGTGAGAATAGTTCACAAGATCCGTTGTTTTCTTCAATTGTAAAATTCATTACTTACAACACCAGATGTTCTGATGTGCAGTGATGTCGAATCTGTGCGATTATTCTAGGTTCAGGTGCAGAAAACTCTCGTGGTAGGCAATCGATATAGCGGTATATGCTCACAAGAAATGTCGTGTCAAAACTTTATTGACAATTGTCGTAGTGAGAAAATATGTAAAAGTCTTGAACTGAACTTTGATATCAACGTAAATTGGTGTAAACTAATTACGAGTTTGCGTCTCTTGCTTGCAAAAACGTTCCAAAATCGTTGCCCTTGGTTGCGAGTTGCGCGTGTGCACGAGAAATGCTGACTGCTCAGCTTATACCGTTCTGGGGAAAAGAACCACGCGTGCTTGCTAGTAACTTTCTGGAAAGTTATCTTCCGCCGACCGAAAGTTCTAGAAATTTCAGTAATTTTACGATACATATGTAGGTTGAGCGACCGAGGGCGCCAGCTTACAGTCGCGTTTTTTATTTGAATTTCGCCGCGTTTTCTTTGCTGCGTAGCCGCAAGTTATTTTCACGACTATTTTAATAATGATTTCTGATTGTAATCTACATTTTGTTGTTCCTTTATCATTGAATGTTTAGTTTTAAATTTACGGCAGCAACTGTTCGTGTAAATGTGCTTCAAAATATTATATACATAGATAAAATGCATATTCTATTTATACTTTTTTTTAACAGCTACATTCACACAATACAATTTGTTTATGTTACTTCTTACATCTCATGTTGTTGTGTGAAATGTCAATAAAGATTATCACTATTTAACAACTAGTTTTTCACTCAATTAAAGTAGTATAACAAGAGCGACGCTTCATAAAAACTATCAGATTACTATACTATCAAAACCACACGTATGTATGTATTACGTAAAATAATCCACATCATTGCAAATAATTCATAAATAATTCAAAAAATCAATATTATTATCTGAGAAGTTCGTACATGAGCGAGTGGAAAAACACAATAATTCAAAGATATTTACAACTAATCGATAGATTACAAGCATTGGCAAATAAAAATGTAGAAGACTTGGCGAATCATATGTAACTCGGAAGTAAAATGTTTTATATTATCCCCAAGAGATTTCTGAACAAGACAGATGGTTTGTTGTTAGTCTGAATTTCCTGTTGCTTCAATCGATTGCGGTGATCGTTGGGTGGCTTGATGAGCTCCGATTTCAGACAAGGGTAGGGTTTCGTATGAAAGTACTCGTGACAAAGCGCCTGAAACGAAACATCAATCATCAGCTTTGCCTTCCGGCTATGAAAGCCGGAGAACAGTGGTCGTTACCTGCTCGGCCGTTAGTCTTTTGGACGAGTCGTATATTAAAATAATCTTGACGAGCTCTATGGCTTCTGGCTGGGCGTCCGGAATAATTCGTTCCCACAAGATTCCCTTGTGGTATGGAAATGTTATTTTATTGTAGTCGGGTAACGAGCTTAATTCTGGCCACGATTCTGCCGTGGGAGAACCAAGGTGTCCTAGTACTATTGCTAATTGCTCGATATCACTTTCACCCTGTATTCATTCCAATCAAATAGTCGTTGTTTCAACTGGATTTTTTATATTGATTTTCAAGAGAGAAAAAAAAGAAGTTACGAACGGGAAAGAGCGGCGAGTTGTTGAGCATTTCGCCAAAAATACAACCAACCGCCCACATGTCGATTGCCGAAGTGTAGAATCTCGCACCGTAAAGCAGTTCCGGGGCGCGGTACCATCTCGTTGCTACTTGGTGCGAGTAAGGGCGACTCACGTCTTCCCACATTAATCTTCCGAGTCCAAAGTCGGCAATTTTCAACAAACCGTTCTCACAAATCAACAAATTAGCGGGTTTCAAATCCTGGAATCAAGCATTTACCCTTCACACACGCGCGTACCAAAACGATAATTTATTGTTCTAATGGAAAGGTCCTTCATAACCGTCAAGTGGAAAGTAGTAATAAAAGCGACGATGCAATAAATCAGAACAGTGCGTGCAATGATAGATTGCGAGAGAGTAAAAGAAAGAAGACACGAATGTGTGGCATTTACTCGATGCATTATATTGTTCGAATGCATGTAGGCGACGCCCTCCAGCAGCATTTTCATATACGTTTTTATTTGCGAATCTTTTAGCGGCTTATCGTAATCTTTCAGAAGTTCCCAGAGTCCCGAGGGCATGAACTCGAACACCATGACGAAGTCTAAGCCAGTTGGGAACGCATCTAAAAGTTCAACGATCTAAAATCATCAGAGATAAGTCGGCAATTATTACTTTGTAAACAGAGATTTCGTCTGTTTATAGTCGCATAGGCTGTTATCAAATGTCATTTCGTATTTCTTTTATTATTGTAAACTTGAAAAAGACAGCAAAGAAATCGCATTTCCTTGTTTACGATAAAATCATATTTTAGAAAACGAGCAGATTTTATCACTGTAATATAACGAAGCTTATTACAATCGACTTTTATTGGCTCCCGGTTGAAATTTATTGTGCAATAATGGTGCAATTTTGAAGCCAATAAGAATGATCGAATTGTCAACGTTATTTTCGAATGAAAAACTCGCACAGTAATTAAGTAACTAAGCCACGCGATAACATTGTAATTGTAACTGATCAATCTTACATATGGATGTTTGAGAAGCTGTAAAGTTTGGACTTCGCGCAAAACCGAAATGGGTATGCTATCGTCGATCTTCTTCAGCAATATTTTCTTCAGAGCAACGGTTTTTGGCACTGGACTACTGTTGTCGATAGCCTTGAGCACCAAGCCATGTGCACCTTCACCAATCTTACCTATGACGGTATATCTTTGAGTTTTTGCGCTGCGACTTTGCATTAGGCTACCAAAAAGTAAATGGCGCTTTGCGAGCACTTTCCAAGCGCTTTCCGTTTGCCTTTGAGCTGGAATGTGCTAAGGTTGAGAACAGATAGACAATATAGACCGAGAACTCTTCCATATGACTTGATATTAAACTTCAATGTTTCTCGTTTGTCGTTGCCATGGTTACTCCGCTCGTCGCCTGGCACTGTAGGGGTACAAACAGTGATGAGAATCCGATGAGGCTACAAAAAATTTCATTTTCATGAAGTCGTACAAAGTTCTTTTTTGGAGTGCGCGTATAAGAAAATACAACAGGAGATTTTAATGTAAAAAGTTGAACGAAAAATAAAATTGTGTAGTCATAATACAATTAAAACTATTTAAAATTACTTATTAGTAGTATTGGTTATTTTAACAAGGACATTGGAATCCAAAGAATCACTTCAATTTTAATCAAAATTTTATTCGAATAATTTGTTTAATCACGTAAAAAAATTAAAATTTGTTTACAGATCGATCTAAATCTGATGCACTCTGTTTATAATCATTGCTATTCTCTATATTATTTTTATAATTAGTTCAGCAACAATATTTATAAATTTTCTACTTTCGAACCAAAGTTGCAAAAATACTAAAGCTTAAATATATTCATGGCTCACTATAAAAAGTAAAAACAGCTCATACATACCTTTGGAAAAAACTACGAATAAATCTAATTTGAATGGACTACTGTATAGTTACATAGAAGATAAGCAATATATTTGTTTTTTTTTTCATTTTAATATACTTCAAATTGAAAAATGTCTTTCAAAACTTACATAATTGCTAAATTTCTATAAGTATATTTCGCAATTCAGCGCAATTAGAAGAGAACGATTAATGGAAAAACCGTCAATATAAATTTGCGAATAAAATTGCGCGTATGCATTCGCAAAACGATATAAGCCCGATCGAGTGTCCTTCATTAACAATTACGTTACATTACAGAATGTAAGACGGAGAGAGAGAGATAGAGAGAGAGATAGAGAGAGAGAGAGAGAGAGAGAGAGAGAGAGAGAGAGAAAACGATCGAGCAAGAGCTGGCGAGTATACTTTTTCTAACTTATATTTTTGTAATTAAGCAATGTTAATTGATTAATTAAATCATTCATTGTAAGTTTCTATCAGCAAAACTGAACTTAGTGTCTAATTGAGCCTTTCGGCAAATCGATTGTAAATTAATGATCGATGATGAATGCTAATAAAATACTGATATTGAAATATGTGAATCTCGCAAATTCGCATCTGGTCAGATCGTCGTCTCTTTTCAATGTTTTCGTTTACATGTTCTTTATAACATTTAAGCTACAAAATAATAGTTTCCTTTTTCTGATGTTTTTTTTTATTCATTCTCTATTGTGATTATACAATCTTAATAATTATTTGTTAACTAGAATTGCCCCTAACTTATCCGCACCCTTTGCGTGTTTGATCGACACCCAATAATTTTTATCTTTAAATTAGGAATCAAACGCTCTGATCGGCTAGACTTTCTCATCTCCTTTTTAATTAAAAAAAAATGTTGAATGAGTAGATGAAGAGATAAATTCTCTCTACATGCTGTTGCTGTTGAACAAAAATCAATGGTCCATTAATTCAGTGATGGACTACTTCACGTTAGATTTCAACGAGCTCGATTTTAAATTTCAGTCCTCCAGAAAATCGCGGTAAAACTTTTTACTAGTAAACACGCATACACATATCTTTTTTTCATCTCTCTATCACTCTTACTTGTTTTTCCTGTGTAATTAAAAAAAAATTTATTAAACGAGTACGTTTGACGTAGTTCTGAATTTGTTATCTTGAAGCTGCGATTATAACAAATAAAGAATCGATTAATTGCCTTGAATTTTGTTTCGGGAATGAACTGATTAATTATTTTGGGAACGAGCACGCAAAATCATGTTATAGTAACAGGAATTCGAAGGAGCGCCGTAAACAGTAAGTATATCTTAATCGATATCATGTGAACAATTTATCAATTACACAAAAATTTACAAAAATTGATTTAACATACATTCGATTGGTTTTTTCCATTTCAGAGAAAAAATGGTTGTTTTTTAAAAGTACATAGTAGTAAAGATAAGAAAACAAATTCAACAATCAAAAAAGGAGTCATGTACGTAGGGCTTTCGAATTGCTGAAATGAAACATTCTATGGATCAAACGGTCTCCCGTCTCTCGGCCTTTCTGATGCTCGTAACTTCGTGTGACTTCCGGAACGAATGAAAAGTGTAAAAAGCTCACTCGTATCCGAGATAAGCGATGTGGTCTTTTAAAGGTTTCAGCAGCATCCGGATTTGGTGCCGCCGATGCCCGAGGTGTCAATGTTGTGGGCTTGCTCAATTTTAACTTTGCTTGTTTGATCACTACCCGCTCCCGATGGAGGTCCTACTCGACTTTTGATTTCCGCAGCCATTGTCATGAAGGCTTGCTCGACGTTCATGGCGTTCTTTGCTGATGTTTCAAGAAATGGTATCCCTAATTGATCAGCATACTCCTACAAAAATAATATTTTAATTTAACATTTTCTTCTACTTTTAGGTCAAAGCCTGGATGGATAGATATATAATTAAAGCAACAATGTTAATATTCATTTTGGTATCATGAATATTTATTATTTATTATCTAAAAATAAAACTTTGAAGATAATGAATTATTTCCTACAGATATCACAATTAATGGTAAAAAAGCTAAAAAAAGTTATTTTAAACAGTTTTCTCATTGTTTCTGTTTTCACAAAAGTCTTGATGATAAATATTAAATAGATACTTAGATTCATGATCAACAATAAATTATATGACACATTTCAACTTGGAAAAAAGAGTATTATAGTTCAATGACTGAATTTATGAATCTGTCTACTCACAAAACTCAGCAAAGTTAATGTATATACATTAGTAATGATTTACTGCTAATATTAAAAGAATCAACAACAAAAATTTACCTTAGCTGTTGTGTAATCAACAACTTTCTTAGTATGGAGATCAGATTTGTTGCCAACTAGTAGTTTGTTAACATTATCACAAGCATAACGATCAATTTCCTCAAGCCACTGTTTGACGTTGTTGAACGACTCTTGGTCTGTGCAGTCATAAACAACAATGATACCATGTGCCCCACGATAGTAAGAACTGGTAATTGTCCTAAATCTCTCTTGTCCAGCAGTATCCCAAATTTGCAATTTTATTGTCTTCCCATCTAAGTCAATAGTTCTTATTTTAAAGTCTACACCAATTGTACTAATGTAGCTCTCCGTGTATGTGTCATCTGCAAATCGAAGGAGCAAGCAAGATTTTCCAACACCAGAGTCTCCAATAAGAAGAAGTTTAAACAGGTAGTCACTGTGAAGGAAAAAATTATCAACTTAATTATCATACCAAGCCTGTCTCTCTCTATAAATAAACTTAATCACAATGCACCCTTAAGAAACTACTTTGTTCACAAGTTCAAACAAATCATCCGATGACTCATGAAAAGTACATACAGAAAAAAATAATAAAAATAATCTGTATAAGATGAGGAGGATATATTACTAGCAATCTTTCTCCATCTCATCTTGTGTCACATTAAAAAACACGAATAGTATAATGCTCTAAGGAGAAATACTAAAAACAAAGGGAGTTGCAGGACCAGTTGTGTCAATTATTCTTGTGAAAATAAAAATAAAAAAATATCAGCAAGTCGTGCCTTCTCTCAGCTGTGCGTGCGTAAACGAGTAACAGTAGGAGCAAAAAATTTTTGACTTAGAAACTGCGAGACAGAGACAGTTGCAATACAAGAAGTAGCTTTAACAATGGGCACTTTAAACGTATTATAAAGAAAGCGAGAGCAAGAGAGAGAAAGAATGATAAGGTTAGAGAGATCCATTGCGTACATCATTAAGGAATCTCATTTTCCATAACTGCGCATCGGGCGTTCACGAGACTTAGCGTTTTACGCGATAAAGACAGCATACGCAGGTTGAAGAAAAAAAGGGGCCGAGAAGGAATGGCAAGAGCGAGTACAAGCACTAGATAGAGAAAGATGGAAAGAGACACACACACGCACATATATATATACATATATATATGAAAAAAAGCAGTGCCAGCGCATAGGTATCCTCTCTTGTAAGCCAACTGACGAACATGAGTGAACGGACACAAGAGAGGTGAGAATGAAAAGCCAACGGGTGCGACCAACTGCTCTTTCTTTCTCTCTGTCTCTCTCACGCTCCGTCGATTGTGTATAGTAGTAGGCGTCGAAGCCATAATCGCACAGGTTGAGGAAAATATACCGTGACAACTGCGTTGTTATTATGACGATTATTTACTCACTATTCGGGATTCATTGTGGACATGCTATTCTTATACGGACGGTTTTTTGAGTGGTCGTCGTGGCGCCTTGGCTATCGATGTCGTGGCAGCAGCTGAACTAGGAAAATACTACTGGAGGAAGGCGGCGGCGCTACGAGCAACTACTGCTTTGACTCTCAGTGTTTAGCAAATATCGCGATCCTCCTCTTCACTGCGCGCACGACACGTCTTTACTACTGCACTGCACTGCCTCTTTCCTCGTCGTTGTCCTCGTCGTCGCCTTCGTGTACGTACAGCCCGACTCGACCATGCAGGACTGATGACGATAGGCTAGCATTGACTGTACCTATCTACAGAGCTCTATAAGCACCGCAGTCATCAGAAGAGGGGAGGAGACGACGCGCCAGTTCGACAGAGACAGACGATCGAAGGCGGAACCTTGCCTGCGGTGGCCTATACTGTGCCTATGTTGCGAGTGTGACCAGCTGCGACTGTTTTGCTCATGGAGACTACATGTTTTGCTACTATGAACACTGCGCTATACTTCGCTATGTAGTTATAAGTATACGCTTTTCCAAGATGTCGAGCAACCGTGTCCTACGATGCGCGACGATGAAAGTCAAGGATCGACGATGGGCACAATGGCAGTCGACGGATACACTTTCTCTTGTCCTCATAATAGTTGCCTTACTTTTTATAGGATAATTTCCTGTGTACCATTCTCGAACGTGTACCCGCGGTTCCGATCTTGTTAAATTTATTTTGTCCTTTTTGTTGACAATTTTTCATACGCTCAAATTTTTTTAGAATAAATGTTTATCGGAAAATTCAAAATTCATTCAAAATAGTTCTTTATTTAATGTAACATTTTTTAAATAATGTTTTAAAAGTACGTTGATGGCTTGTCAATATTTATTAAATAATTAAATGTTTTTCGCATGTATCAAATTTAATCATTTATAAAATTTATATAATATATAGGGAAGAGAAATTGCTTTTAAATATAAATTAAGTTAGTAGATTTTATTTAATATATGTTCAATGATTTTATTTCTAAATATACGAATTCAAATCATAAATGTGATTGCAATTTATTTTGTTTGCATTTGCAATAATTTAATGTATCTGTTGCATTGTTTACGCATGCGTTTAGGCTCTTTTAATTTTGGCGCCATCGTGCGTCATAAAGTTGCATGATTCATTCACATCACGACACAACCAATGCGACTCGATCTGGCGAGTGGCGACTTCGAAATTCGTGGAATAACGGAACGGAACAAACAATGAATCTATAACATTAAGGATAAATAAAATTCGGCGGTCATATATATATATATATTTGCAACTGGATTAGTTATGATTTGTGATAACGATTAGAATCGATGGTCAACTGTACGTATCAATAGCTTAATTAGTCGTAGTTGTATCGAATCACCATTTCTCGAATGTTTGTTAACAGAAAAAGAAAAGTAGTGACAGTTTTGAAAGGAGGCCAACGGGCCAACTTCGTTGTTTAATTTCGAAGACAATGATCAGATCTACTTGGAAACGTAACAACAGCTGATTTGTAACAATTTTTATCAAGTTTTCTATCTACTTACCAATTAATACTGTAGGTACCACAGATTATCCTATTTTGACAACTGACGCCATGCCAAATTTAACTTAACCTTGAATTTTTTTAGGTACCACATTGCTCACATTTGTAAGACAACAATAAAGGCTGTACCAAGATTTTTTATCGTGATTACATTTTACTTTAATGTTACTGGTGATTGACACCGAAAAAATAAGACTGTGACGAGAAAACAAACATTCCAGAGGGCAGCTCTAACTATATTTGAAAGTACTGAATTCTAGTCTGCAAGTCTTTTCGATAATTTTTTAAAGAATCAGGAACAAAAAATAATTTTTGAGTGAATTTTATAAAAGTCTATGGGGAAAAGCACACAAATGGATGTCAGCAGTGATTATGAAAGTGATCATCCGTTGATTCAACATCCAAGAAGTATAGTACATATAGATATCGATTGTTTTTATGCTCAAGTTGAATCAGTACAACATCCTGAATACAAAGGCAAACCTCTTGGAGTACAACAAAAAAATATAGTAGTTACTAGTAATTACGAGGCAAGAAAATTTGGTATAACAAAATGTATGTCAGTGAAGGAAGCTTTAGCTTTGTGTCCAAATTTACTGCTAATTCGTGGAGAAGATTTGACACCTTACAGAAGAGTATCTGTTAAAATTTTTGAGCTGTTACACCACTTTTCACCTTTAGTTGAAAAATTGGGTCTCGATGAAAATTTCATTGATATTACGTCATTAGTCAATGAACGCATTTCAAACACTGCTACAAAATCCACAAGTGTGAATGGAGATGAGAGCATGACCCAAGAAAAAATAAATTGTACAGTGCAGAATTCCGAGCAATGTAAGTCTGTTGGTGAAATTTTTGAGATTCCAGAAGAAAACTGTCCTTGTGAATGTCATACTCGTTTAGCCATGGCAACTAATATTGCCATGGATATAAGAAATAAAATACACAAAGAGTTAGGACTTACGTGTAGTGCAGGAATTGCACATAACAAGTTGTTGGCTAAATTAGGAGGTGCTTTAAATAAACCTAATAAACAAACTTTAGTTTATCCGTGTTCTGCAACAGCGTTATTATCGTCTCTGGGTTCAGTTTTGAAAATACCTGGTGTAGGGCGCAGAACCGCAGAGTCTTTAACTGCAAATAATATTACAACTGTTGATGATATTCGAAAGACACCTTTAGAGAGATTGCAAGTTAAGATTGGAAAGGAACTTGCACGAAAAATTAAGGATTATGCAGAAGGTATACATAAATTTATATTACTTATTAAAAATGAAACTTTTCGCAAATAGTGCTGTTGTTGAAACATAATTAAATTTAAAACAATCTCTTAGGTATTGATGATGCTCCAGTAAAACCATCTGGAAGACCACTTTCAATTGGTTTAGAAGATGGATTTAAAAAAGTTTCTTTAGTAGATGAAGTAGAATCGCGCCTCAGTGCTTTATTAAGAAGATTAACCGAGTTAGCTGCTGAGGATGGAAGAATTCCTATTTGTATGAAATTAACAGTACGGAAGCAAGATAGTTTAAGTAAACCAAGTTCATCAACAGGTAAACGAGAAAGTAGGCAGTGCCCACTGCCAGCTCATCTTGTACCATCCAGTAAAGGTTCGAAAGGAAGTTCACTTTATGACCATGCAAAAATTTTAGCACTGGCTATGAAATTGTTTCATCGTGTTGTTGACGTGACTAAACCGTTTAATCTAACTCTTCTTGGTCTAGCTTTTACAAAATTTCAAGAAGAAAAATCGGGTAAAAGTAGCATTGCTTCGTTCTTACGAAAACAGGTTGCTGTACAATCTGTTATTGATATTAGCTCGGAAGATGGTTTCTCTGACACAAGTTTAGGCTCTCCGATGAGCACTAATCAGACGGAAAGGAGCGATTGCGAGGAGGAAAGCGATGTTGAGTTTAGAGAAAACAAAGATTTTGGAAATAAAGTACAATTGCAGTCTACTTCTTGCCACCGCATCAGAAGCTTAGATAGAGCAACTCCAAGTCCGATTGACGTTCGTAATAGCGGAGAAGATGATGAAGATTTACTTAGTGAGGTAGAGCCATCGCCAAAGAAAACCAAGCTTGATGTTTGGCTCGGTGGTAGAAGAGGATCGCCAAGTAACGAAATGGCTGATTTGAGACTTAATACCCCATCGTCTTCTCCAATATCAAAATCTTTATTACAAACTGGCCCGATATCATTTAAACCAGCGATACCTATTGATCTTGAAAAACAAATGCATACCTGGCCAGCTAATGCTAACAACAAAAAATCAAACGACATATTTAAATTTTTTATAGCGAATAAGTGACTAACGTAACAACGAGTAAATCATTTTTAACTCTAATCAAACTTTACAAAAATAAGTTTTCTACTACTTTTTTACACATGAAAGGGTGAAGTGTTATTGAAAGTGTAGTATGCAAATATCACCTATATTCTGTACTTCCTGCAGGGCAGGGTAAATGAACAAATGTAGCAGTTCAAGAAAGCTGCAAGATTACTTTATACTTACTGTTATAAAAAGTTGCGCATAAATAACTTGTGTACAAATATTCTCGATTATTTTCAGGTCGTGAGAGTTGATATATATTAAAACAAATGTCAATATTTTTTACAACAAGAGTTATATTGAAAAATGTAGTATTGAAAATAAATTATCCATGTTTTGTAAAAAAATGTTCTTACTTTTATTTTTACCTATCACTAAACAATTTTTAATATTTCTGTAATAAAATACTTTAGTTTACGTAATGCAAAAAAATAATGACTTTCAATTTCAAGGTCATTCGTTACCAATAGATCTTTATTTATTAATAATTTATCATTTTTTAATACAATTTTGGTTTGTTTTTTGAAATCAAAGATAACCACCATTTTCAGCGCGGTATTCTCGCGCTTGCGCTATGCAGCTAAAAGCATGGTGAAATGTTTGGCAGCTGTATTTTGCATGTGGTTTTATCAATAAAAGTCTATAAATATACTACACATAGATTGTGCAATGTAACATAAGCTTGAATCAAAATGTTCCTAAAGTATTTCACAAGTAAATATTGATCAGGAATCGATCAAATAAAGGTATATTGCTATAGAGAAACTGTTTTTCAAGCAATTGTATACTTGTTTAAGCTTCAAATTTTTGAAGGCATTTACAAAATTCTTTTTTTTCACTTTCTACAGCGCCCTTGATCGTGAGAAAGGAGAGTATTTAATATTATGAAAAAAGAAATTTTTTACGCCCAGTTAAATAATCCGCAAAGAGGTATTACTGGTGTTGTGTCCAGAACAAGCAATCGGCATAAAGATACTAGAATGAGAAAGTATTATCAAACTGCTTTGTTAATTACAGCTGTAGTAAGTTTAGTGTCATTATTGTTCTATCGACACGAATACAACAGGCTACGATATGTATTAGAAGTATTCAATTACTTTGGCAAACCAAGTCAGGAAGGGATTAAAATTAATTGTCCTAAAGAAAGTTCTGAAGTTAAAAAAATTCAAATAGGATTAAATGAGCCTTTTTCAGCTTGGCAAAGACTGGATGATGATTTGTTTGTTTACTCGTCATATATAACAAATAATAGAAAAGTTCAAACAATTAGTTATGGAAAGCTGAATAACCCAAATTTAGATTGCAACATATTTTTTGACGATTTATTGACTCCAATTCCTGGAATATTTTCTTTCTCTATTTTAGGAAATACTAGTGACATTCCAGGTCATACTGCTTATAGAGGGTATATCTTAATTTGTGAATATACCGAACCTATGACTCCTGTTGGTGTAACATACCAACCTAGAGATCAAGTATTATTTAATTCCAACAGTCCAATATTATCAGTGAAAAGTCAACCAAAATTATTGAAATACGATGGCAGTGCATTGTGTGTTGCTCCACCGTTGAATATGCCAATGTCTCGAGCTGACATGATAAGTTTTCTCAACTTTCATGAGCTAGTTGGAATGAGTCATTTTGTGATTTATGATTATGGTATCCCAAATGTATTTCATAAAGCATTAAAAAATATGGCACAAGATTCAAATCCTCAGTGGAATTTTACTTATGAAGTGATACCTTGGAATTTTCCAATAAGAGAGATACATTCAAATGTGATAAAGAATATTATTGAAACTGATTGTTTATATCGCACATTTAACAAAGTTATGTATGCTGCTACAATATCATGGGAAGAATATATTGTCTTGAAATACCATCATGTAGTTTCAGATTTATTGGTGGACTTTGAGAAAACTAAAATATTTGGAAACCGCTACATCATTCAAACTCAAACATTTTGTACTCAACAAAAGGATGACAAAAGATCAACCAACTCTACTCCGATAATTTTAAAAAAAATATATACATCACCCAATGCACTTGATGCAAATTCCATATACATTTATAAGCCACATGAATCAGTCAATGTAAAACATATTCAAACACTCAAAACAGCATCTAATTTGATTGTTGCTAATCGTTATGTATCTTGTAACGATTACAATGTGAATAACCCTGAATCAAATAAATACGAAAAATCAATTTTAAGATTTGCTGGAGATTTGCAAAATTCACCAATTTTCAGGAGATTCATTGCAGGAAAAATGTTTGATATTGAATAACAGCCATAATTTTTGACATAAATAAAAGTTTTCAAATTGTAAGGACCATTGTTCAAAATGTGATAAGCATGTTTAGAATTTACTATCTTTCACATTCTTCAACGCAAAGTTACAAAACAGTAATCAGATTATTACAGATCGTAGTAATATCATGTAGAAGACTGTTAATATTAAGTTTATATCCTTGTTTATTAAAAGTCATTAATTTCAATTTCTCACTAGTAACTAAAAGCTGTCCAATCTGATTTGAAAAACCACTAAAACTCAGATTATTGAATTGAAGCAACAATTTTTATAATAATACTGTATAAGAAATTAAGGACTGCCACTGTTAATTGTATTTTTCACATTGTGTGTTTGTACATTTTTATAAAAATTAATTAATTAAAAAATATAATAGAATATTTGATCTTCATACTATACAATTACCAAAACTATATTTAATTGGAATACAAATTTCAATTCTATATTAAGTACAGTGTATATAAATTAATTATTCATGATATACACTTTTAATATAATTGAATCGGAAGTTATTAAATGTTTTATAATCATCTTTTTGCTTGGATGGACTTTATAGATACAAATTAGCTTTCATGTAAAGTTGTAAAGTTATTTTAGAAAACATTCGATTATAGATAAAGTTATGTTGTAAATGAATACTCAATTACTGATGTACAATTCAATTTGTAAAAACTTTATTTTAAAAGAATTATTTAGTAGAATTGTAATAAAGATTTTATTCAAAGTAGTAATAAAGCAACTAGTTATTTATACATTAGTTATTTCAGTCGTTGCATTATTGCAGAGTTTTGAAGATTTGCCTCTTGAATAGTTTTATCTTCTTCAGTAAGTTCTTTAGTAGGGAAAGTTGTTTGTAAAGCATATTCCCTGAGTGCATATTGTGGTCGCATACTATTCGAAATTAAGAAAATTTAAAACATTTAAAAAATGTAAAATATAGAACCAAATATGTAATAATGAATCAATAATAAAAAGGATACGTTGTGATATATCGTCTGATATCTCCAATTGTATGTGTAAGGTTGAATTGAACTCTCACATTGCTACCATCTGCTAATCTAATTTGAATAGTTGTTACTGGTTGCTCTGTATTGAGATTTAGTTGACTTCTAGCTAATGCTTCATTGGCAGCTTGATCAACTGGATCAGTTGGTATTGTCATTCCTACTGTAGCTGGAGAAGGACTGCAAGAAATAATATGTTATTTTTAAATCTTAACACATGAAAATTAAAAGTTGATAATAATAAAAAGCATCTATTACCTTCCAAGCATTTGTCCTTTACCAGTAAAGGCTTTGACTTTGTTTTTTACAGGAACATACTCTTCATGACGATGATCTTCCATATCTAAACGAACTTCACCACCTTGTACTTCTTGACGAATTTCCATTGGTATTTCACCCCTCTTAATTGATTCAAGAAAATCTCTATTTTCTGGATTATTGTATGGTCGAATTTCTCTATCATTAATGGTAAAACCATTTTGCCACATTCTCAGAGTTATAAGTCCAGTTGATGGTCTTCTTTCAGATGGTGAAGATGTGACAACTGCAATGTTTTATTTGAACACTTGAAAAAATTTATTTCAAAAATATCTCTTAATTATTCATTAACCTGATTTAAATCTTTTAGTTATTCACTGTTAAAAAACTATTAACAAAATGTATGCAATGTACCTTCAGTATCATCGCTTGTCATTCCAAGCTTATATCCAGTACCCATAAATGTATTTGGTCTGTGGTGAGCACTTGGCTTACTTGGCTCAGCAGAAACTGATTGACTTTGACAGGCTTTAAACATATCTGTTACAATGTCATTCTTTTTATCAGGTCCTAGAATTTGCTGCCCACTGGTTTCAGATCCACCAGCGTAAAAAGCTTGTCCTTCCTCCTCTGAGCTGCTATCCTGATTTTGAAAATCTCTAATAGTACTAAAGTTTGACTTTTTCTTTGTTGCCTTTTGCTTGGAGGATTTAGAACTCTTCATTTCTACAGGGATAGATTCTTGTGGTCTAGCTGCTAAGTCGCCCGAATCTTCGTACAAATTTTCTTCTTGAGTTCTTTGTGCGTCTCGCTCAGGCGGTAAATTTATCTGATCCGAATCATTCTCGAAAAAACTGGCAAGAGCAACCTACAAAACATAATTCATTAGACTTATAGACAATCGTTGCTTGCAGCTTCCACAATGTTTTTTAATAAAATAATCTTAATCTAGAGTAATTTCATAATCAAAAACTATTATAATTAAGGTAAGGTTATAGCGAATTGCGTTTATCGTGTAAACTGGTAAACTTTTAAAGGGATTGAATACAAATTGTTGACTAATAATTAGACAAAATGAAAACGTCTTACATCGATTTGCCAAACCGAGGATTCCAAGAAAAATCGAGCTCTGTCGTTATCAACTCCCGTAACATCCCTAAAGTGGGCAATCATTTCATCATGATCTGCCATTCTTATCTAACTAAGTATAAATATTTATAAATCTCAAACTTTAAACAAAATATACATTTATCAGTTGTCAATTCCGTGTAGATTCCTTCGCTTTTTTTATGATTATGATTCGGTTCTTTAATTTGTCGTTTGTCATCAGATCGATTTTTGTGTTGGCACAACTGCGTTTTTGACGTACATTTTAACTCGTGCCATTGTCAGCAATTATTTTAAATGTTCTTTACCTTTACTATTGTAATAATGTTTTATTAGTTGTAATCAATCATTTTCGTGTCATGCCTCAGCATTAAAAAAATAATAAAAAATAAGTAATTTTGAAATAACTGGAATGTTGGAAAATTACAATTTAAAAAAATTAGAAGGGTCGAAGTAGTAATTACAATTATAATTTTATATGGATGGATATAAACAGATTTGGCAAAAAAATATATTTAACTGTACTATGTAACACATTTTTATTTAAGTTCTACAATACATACAACTTGTTATGTTTAACTGTCTCATAATTCTACTTATTCTACTTGACAATATAATGCTGTACCACGTTTAATCCATATTCTTGGATTGATATCCGTTCTTAAATCTACTGATAGGATATAATTATCTTGTAAAGTTTCGGAGTTACATGAATTATTGTGTAAAGTTGACGTAACATATAGAGGACATTTATAATAAATTGCAGAGTTGGAAGATAACGAACTAGTTGTCACATTTTTCAGTGTTAATGCAAAAGATACAACAGGCATTTCATTATAAAAATTGTTTGTATCAGAACTACTGAGAGATTTAGTTTCGTCGTTCCATTTTGCTCCTACCAAATACAGACCGTACACATATATACAATTATCAGGTACGTCGAGGCTGTCATTGGGGCTTTTTTTGTCTAATACGCTAAATTCAAAAGCCACTTGATTCATAGGAACTTGTTTTTTCCTTGCAAAAGTCATTTTCAAAGTAGAAAGTAATCTTTTGCAAGATATCAGTCCCCCGAACCAATAATACTGCGGATGGCCGTTAATAATCCAACTGCTTATAAATTTAATACGCTCCAACAAATTCAATATAAATTTCGGTAATTTTGTAATGCAAAAAGTTAAATCAAATCTCCATGAGCTGGGTACCTGTTGCTGAAAAATCTCTTGCGCTAGGTTTTCCAATTCTAATGTCCAAGGTGTATATCCATCATAAGCTCGCTTCAGTTTCACTAATGAGTTTTTTATTGTACTTAAATACTTATTATAATAATTAATTTCCTCTAAAAGTACATAATTTAATGGCTCTAATTTTGTTATTTTATACTTATGTTGTACTTCCTCTACATTAAATTCACTAGGTAGTTTTTCTATCATTTGAAAAATTATTGACTGCACTTGATTGCTTTCAATTTCAATATTATGAATCACAGCTGTTTCATTTAAACATGACAGTGAATTCAGAAAATTCTCAACTCTATGACTATTTTTAATTAACACTAAATTTTGATCACGGAAAAATGGTAATATGTCATTAGGAATATTTTTTATTTGCATAATATAGTCTTTATATTCAATTCTCTTGGGTAATTTATATGCATGCATAGTATCAAAATCATAGTTCAAATCATACACTACTTTGCTATTACAATATTCTGTGACTAAGCTATCCAAGAAAATCTTATCCTGAACATTAATTATTTTAGCTCCGTAATTGCATTCACTTAAAACATAAGTTAAAGCTTTATAAGGAACTTTTTCACATTGGTTAACCCAATTTTGCAATTGAATAATTGACATGTGTAAATCCGATTCATCGAAATCATAATGATCGTTCCAACTTTGGATTCCGAAATTCTTTCTCTCTCTGATTACAGTGTGAAAGAGGCAAAAGCTGTACAAAAGTCGTGAAAATGCTTTATCTTTTCCAGGACACCCTTCGAAAAATTCTTTGTCTTTTACTGGTTCAGATTTGTATGTCCACGTCAAAGTTTGCTTAATATCTTGTGGTGAATCGAACGCAATTTTAATACTGTTCTGTAAAAGGCCTATCGGGAAGTCGTCACTCGACTGCGTTGTCATCCATAGTCGAAAGCCTAACGATGTGTTTGTTATATCAAAATTCTCGCATATCTTTTCAAGTTTCGCCATCCATGATAGTGCCAAGTGGCAATTGTGCAAAAACACCCATTCGCCATTTTTTCGAGCGATTTCAATAAGTAATTCCGCTTTCTGTCCTTGTAATGGACCTAATGAAAGTGAATGTAGTTTTGTCGAGTATCCTGAAATTTTAGCGAACCTGTTAACGATAGCAAAAGGTGAAGAATAACTAGGTAAGATAAATATCAAAGGTACGAGGCAGGTAGATTCTTGATATGGTCGAGTAATATTGCAGACTGCGATATTATTATTGCTTCCCATTACAGACTCTACAAACTCGGTTACTTTGGATATGATTTTATCTGGCCACAAAATTCGAATTAATATTAATTTTTGAAATGACGTCAGCTTATTATCCCAGGGTGCTGGCAACGAACAATCAGTTTTCCTAGAAGTGTAGTTTCTTTTCCATTTCGTATTACTGGATGCAAAATTATGTGTCAGACCGTGAAATGCTGTTAGTGAATTTGAGTTGCTAATTAAACTGATTTTACAAATTTCTCTCCACGATTCTTCTGGTAGCCACGGAGAAGCTGGATTAGCTTCAACTTCGAATTCGGTTGAGCTTTTCTCGCCTATACTCATAAAAATGTTGAATTCCTGTTCGGTTATTTTCTCTGTATCCAAAAGGGTTTTTGCACTCAAAATAAATGAATAAATGAGCTTGTGTTTTTCAAAAAGAGCATTTTGAATGCTTTGATAAAGATTTTGAATAGAAGACATTTTTAAATAGTCTATTCTTTTTTTATGAACCACACTCCTGTGAGACGTTTCGATTGATTTGATGTACAATTGCGTAAACCATGACAACGAGAATCGATACATATGATTCAAATTCGGTAATAAATTTAGTGTACTGTAGAGATCAGCGCAATATTTTGTAAACGGGCTATACGTCTCGCGAAATTGATCAATGTCTTCTTTCGTTTTCTTTGCGGCCGTGTGCCGCTTCATCAGGTCAATGGCAAGTTTTTTCGAATTATCCAATGTTTTTATTGCCCCTTCGTCTTCTAGAATATTGGTTGTCGATGCAGAAAGCGTATGTAGAATATTATCCTCTTGCTGTTTCAGAATTCGCTTAATATTAATATTTTCCATTAAAACTTTTTCAAATTTCTCTTGAAGTTCGGGCCTTTCTCTAAAAATAACAATATCTAACAGTCGATCTCTTAGCGCATCACTAGGCAGTAAAAAGTCTATAACTGTCACTTTGTTAAACACATCTGCCGAATAACAATGTTTATGATGTCTTGTTGTTAGATATAATCGAAAATTTGGATTATACGTAATGGTATCTTGTCCGAGATTGATGTACCAAGATTCAGATAATTGATAAATATCCTGATTCAAAATTGGATCAAGAGAAATATCTAATTGCTTGTCCAAATTTTTTAGTAAAACGGGTTCACCTATCTCCATGCAATTGCGGATTGTACTAATGTAATTTGAATCAGTAATCGCTAGAACATGTAAATTATTTGGTTTTTCCATATTCTTAATCCATTCAAATGCTTGAGTTTGTGGGTCGATAAATAAACACCACAGAGGAGAAGTATCCATTATTATTGCATTTTGCAATGAAAATTTATTATTAGATAGACCGCAAAGATGCCATGTGTTAATCGTCATCTCAACTCCCATAAATTGTATAAAATCGAAATCTTTGGAACATGAAACGTCGAAATCTATCATATAACCTTTCCACTTGGAAATATTCCTTTGGCGATGAATAAGACTCAATGATGATAAATATGTCACAGTGGCACTAGATAAAAGTACATCACCAGGTAAATTGTTGTATTGATTTCCTAGTTTGTCTGCTGCATCAAACCAGCGTGTTTTTTCACCGCCTAAACTAGCGATAAGACTTTCAGCTTTCCTTAGTTTTATAGTACAGTTCTCAACTTCTCGTTCCAGTTCCAATTTCTTCAAAAGTGTCGCCTCCAATGTACCCCTCAATGCAGCCAATTTGGCATTCAAATCAGCCAAAGTTTTGCGCTTTGTATTCAAAAACGCTTCGGTTTCATCGCATTCTTTCTGAGCTGCTGCTAATTTTTCTTTCTTAGGAGCCACTACTTTTGCTACTTCATCATAGGAAACCATAGCTCTGACCCATTTACAAAGTCCTTCCGCTGCGCTGGAAGCTTTTGCAACAATTTGTGGCATAAAGTTCTTGTCAGTCATGTATGTTTTTTTGATAGTCACAATAATTGTCGGCGATATATTGTCTTTATCGTAATCTTTTAGATTTTGCAAGAAATTCATGTCGCCTAAAACTCGTTTACTTGGGCCCCAGAAATCCATACTTTTTCGACCGGTTATTGGATCTACAACTCGCTCAGAAGGTACACTTAACATTACACAGACAGCAGCCATAACTAATTTTACCGTGTCTGGTGGATTTTTCATAGCTTTAACGAGCGTGATATCAGTTGGTTTCAGAGTATTCAAAGCGGCAAGAGCGTCTTCTAAAATTGGAATAGCAACGGCGAGCTCAGCTTCACACTCAGCTTTCAAAATACCGGCAATTTCAGCTTTCTTATTTGCTATTTCTTCGTCTCGTTTAACAAGAACAGTAGCTTTTTCTACGCTTATGTTTTCATTTTCAATTTCTTTCATAGTAGCTTCGGTTTGTCGAGCAGATGCTTCAAGTTGTGGTCTCAGTTTTGTTAAAGTATTCTTCATTTGGGCAACTTCGTCAGCTGTCAATTTTAATTTTTCTAAGCCAGCTATATATCGCTTTTTAGTTGATTTTATTTCTTCTTGCTTTTTGGAAATAATACTTGCGTATAACTTGGCTGTTCGAACAAACGAAGATGGCATTACATAAAACATCTTTCCTGTTTCTATATAATGTTGCAAACTCATTTCTTTAACGTAATTATAAAAATGTTTGCTGGCAAGAATTATTTGACATTTTATAGAATCTAAGATGTTGACGTCTTTCAAGTAGTGAGATGCAACTTGTTCCAATGCTTTTTCTGGCCAATAATCAAACCAATTGATGGTACATTGCTCTAATAAGAATGGATATCGATGCAGATATTTCTGAAGCGTATTCGTAAAAGGACTTATATTTAAAACAAAATGTAGTCTTTGTCTACATTGACTCAAAAAATAAGCGAGCACACTTGTCATATTCATTTCTAAATTTCTGTTACCTCTCTGTGCATCAAGTCTGACTTGTTTAATGATCATTCTTTGCTCTTCATTATCGAATAATCCTGGTATTTCATTGTGGGACAGGAAATTCTTGACATCTTGCATAACCTCTGGCTTCAGCTGTCGATCAGTCATGAAAAATGTAACGTCTTTTTTTTTCGTTCCACAATTAATCATTATAGACTTGAGGTCATTTTTCCATGCCGCGTAGTCATTTATAATCGGGTTACATAATTTTTGTTGCTCGATGAAAGCAGCTAAGCGGGTGAGCGACCTTCTACCAGATCCGTTAGAACTTATCATCAATAACGTTCCTTCTGGTGTAGCCAAAATTCTACATATTTTAATCAAATTCTGCAGTGCGTGACATGTAAGAACAATATCAATCTTGTATTTACTGGTTTCATTGTATTCCTTTACGTATTGTAAAAGCTTATTCTTGAAACTTTCATTTGTACTGATTTCTTCATATTTTCTTTTACTACTATCTTGGTCCATCAAGTTACCAAATGCTAAGTTATTAAAACTTTCTACTGTTAACTCATTTTCATACTTTGGCAAATGATCAAATACTGATTCAAAAGGGTCTTTGAAGCATAATTTCACCACTTCACGCATTTTTACAAAGAACCACTGTTTGTCTTCATCGTTTGTAATTCTATCACTTAATACTCGATAAGTTTCATGTGCCCATAAACGAATAAAAGTTATTTTAGTTTCTACCGATTCTTTTTGAATAAGACTGCAACCTTTGATAATTCGTCGTACGTCTCGCAAACTGAAATGATAAAGCGCTCTTAACGGCGTTGGTTTTAGTTTCTGTACAGTTGCTAAGTATATTTCAACCGAAGCGTTTACTATGCTATTTACACTGCTTTGAACATCTGCTGTAAAAGAGTTTTTTTTCAAGTCAATTAAAAGTGTGTTGGAGAATATTCTAAACACGTTATCTTTTGACTGATCATACATGGCAAAAATATTAAAATGCCTTGAAAATCTTGAACAAACATCTGTTAAGTCTCGTTCTGTACTAAATATTCCAGCAAACATTGTATCTAATATATTAATTTTATTTACACCCTTCAAATCGTACCAAAATCCATAATCTATGTGCTGTCTTATCAATTCCAACGTAGAATTCATACCTCTTTTACTCAAAATAACATTCAAGTCATCAATGAAATTAATGCAATGTCTATTTTTTGAAGGTCCATAATTGTACTGCTTTATTTTATTGAGTTTTGTAAGTATCCTTTTTTGTGAATTATTCGTTGTTGCATTAGAATTAAAGTAAAAATAGTTACTGATATATTCAGATCTAGGAATATTAGCAAGGAATTCTTTTATAAAACTTGTTTTTCCACAACAATTGCTGCCAATCAGCAGGAATGGTCTTCTATACTTCACATGTAAATTCAATAATGCTGTTAGCTTTACACTGTCTGTGGTAGGAATGTAAGCTTCTTGAAAATATAAATTCTCTTCTTTGATTTTTTCCGTTTTCATCATTTCACCACAATGTTTCCAGTAGCCTGATCCTTTGAATATGTATATATTATCATATAACTTACCTTCGTTAGGTAATGAAATTTCAAATTGTTTGATTTCATTTGGACGAGGAAAATTCTCATTTGAATTGCTCCATAGAGACATGTAAAACTCTTCAAATTTGTCTCTCGAAGTGTAGTTCATACTTCCCGTTAAAGTCCAGAGTGTAGCCATTATAATTGCTGCTTGAGACCAGATAGCTATATGATCTTTGTTATCTTTTTCTTTTTTTTCGATATGCTCGTCAATAGCGTAATTCATGTACATTTTAAACAAGGATAATGTAGAAATTACAAGATGCATATCGGTTAAGCGTAAGTAACTTGAACAATTTTTCTGCATAAATTCTAAGCATGGATCTATTGACCAGTCAAACAACTTGTATATAATTTGATGGTAGCCTTGAAAATATTCAACATTTGTTAAATCAGCCAGGACAAATGGTCTCCATCCCAACTTTTGTAGATTCATATAAACTATTCCACATCGCGATACTGTTACAGGAGATACGTCTTCTAAATTTTCTGTTTCAAAAAATATTTTTGTTCTACTGCTTAGAATTATTTTTTCACTAGATGTTAAATATAATGTCCTACTTTCATTCAAAACGGTTTCTAATTTTTCTACCCACGATACATGCATATTACTATCGAATATCAACCAGTTTTGCTCATCGCTTTCTTTAAAACGTCGAAGAATATCTGGACATATTCCATCATTCCATTTACCGGAGAGTTCATCTACAAATCCATACATTCTATTGTTGTCTAAAGCACCTGGATTAATTACCTCATAGTTTATTTTATTGTTATTTTGATTGTCTTGCTCATTCATGCACAATAATGATTCCATTAAAACATGTAAAATAGTCGATTTACCACTATAAGTTTCTCCTACAAGAATTATTGCTTGTTTTAAATGTATCATTTCATACAGTTGAATCACTTTTAATTTTAATGCTGAATGCACACTTAACTGCTGTGCTGCACACACGTTTTTTACTACTTCTAAAAGATGATCGTGATTTGTAGGTGGTAGCACGACGCTTGGAAAACATTGTTCTAAAATACTTTCAAAAATAATAATATCGTCTCCAATAAATTGGGAAATGTTTATATCAACCACCACTCTTAAAATGATAATTTTTTCTTCTTCTTCTGGATAAACAAACTTTAACTTGGCGGCCGTTTTAACGATCGATTTTAAGTTACTTAGTTTGAAATTATATTTTTTTTCGACAGAAAGCTGTTCACTGCAGAGTGTATACACTTGGACCAATAAATCTGCTAAATTTTCTGCATCTTGAAAACCTGCAGCAAATAATTCAACTTGGCAAATTTTTTTGAGATCAGGATTCATGAAAGATACTGTTCTAAAGTGGATTTTTAAATTATCAGGCACGGGAGATAATCTTGATGACGAAAGATTAATACTGAAAGTTAAGTAGCAATTTAAATTGAATGTTAGTTGAGTTCCTTCAATATTTATAGTATCCGCCATTGTGGTTTTTAATTGAGAAATACGAAAAATATACTGAGCGATCACAGAAAGTATTTCTTCATCTATTTTTGTAAAATTTTTTACAAACACCCAGGCTTCAAAACTAACAAGTCCTCTGAATACATTAGATATATAGTTATAATTTAATTGATCTTCACCATTAAACATGAAAAAAGGTGTTGCGAGAATTCTGGCCAGATTCATGATCGTTTCAGTTTTTCCAACGCATGGAAAACCTGCTATAGCGCCGAAATAGTTATAGTGATAAGCTTCCATTAAATTTCTGTAACATCTTGCAGTAAGCGGTGTATTAACTGATATACGTTGACAACTGCTATAATATTCATAAGCGTAATTAATTCGACTATTAATTATTTCAACTTTTACAACATTTTCATCGTCGCTATTATTGCATTCATCTTCGTCACTGATATTACAATAGTAATAACGTACTTGAGCTTTCCAATCAAAATCACTTTGATCGTGAATTTTTTTATCAATTAGCAAACTAGCAACTTCCTCCTGATGTATAAAAAGAATAATCAACGAAGTAACAATTTCTCTATCTTTTTTACTCAAATTAGATTTTAAAAGTTCTTGTGCATTACTTTTACACATTTTTGATTTTGCTTTCAAAATTTCCATGTTTGCTTCATTAAAACATCGGTGAACTTGAGTAGTCCAATAAATTTGCCAAATACAATAAATAACCATGGCAGGAGTTTGTGTTATCCATTGAATTGATAGTTCATTTGTAAAATTATGCAGCAAGCTATTTAATTTGCTTTTTATTACGTTCGTGACTTCAGTTTTGACATTTACAAGCCAATCCGTTATATTTTCTGACGATGACTTTAGCGAAATAGCTTTTTCTAGCAACACTTCTTCACCACTATCACCTACAATCGAAATAATGTCCAAATCTTGGCCCATGTTTACCCGTACTATATTAGGAAAACACTTTTTCAAATGTAATTTACTATGAGTAATATTTTGGCACACGAATAACAGCTGTACAACTTCATCATCCGATAAAAAAAATAGCCTAGGAAATGAAAGTCTTAGCTTATTCAAATAATCTTGCATTTTTGAACTCATAAACTCTAAAGCGTATTTACCTTTTTTCAACTTGTCTAAAATACTCGAATTTCTAGTGATATAATTAAAAGTTGGGTTTGCATTAAGTGATTCTTCGATTGATTTTAGAATTTGTTCTAACGAAGTATACAAATTCACTTCTTTTTCCAAGTGAATTTGCACAGTTTCATTAGAAAAATACAAATTCATATTCTCACAATGCTTTTGAATGCAATTCCAGCATTCAATTGTTTCGCGAACATAACAAAGTTTATTATGAAACTCCAAAATTTTAGATTCGATAGGTGTAACAAAATGCGATGCTCGTATTTTTATAATTTTTACAAATTGTTCCTCGAGAAGAATATCTATTTCATTTTCATCGGTAAAAATAGCTTTCTCTGTCATATCGTCTCTTGATATTGAAAGATTTATATTTTTCCATTCGTCGATCATATCGTTCAACTTTTTTTGTAATGCTAATTCTTTGTTGGCTCCTATACTTATGACTTCATATTTTTCAAAGTTGTTCAACAAACCCAAACCAATGATTTTCCTCAAAGTAGTTCCTGCATTGGGTAATAAATTTATACCAGCGATAGAAGACATTTCATCCCAATGCCGTTTTTCTAAAGCAGGATTACACATACATATAGTTAGAGAAACATACCTTTTGAACTCATTTAAATCTCGCAATGCTTGCCAACAAAGTTTCAAAGGAGCTGGTTGTTGCAATGGATCTGGATCATCAACGGTACCTAAAAATTTGAAAGGCTTATTTGAGGTCAAATCTGACTTTATTTTTACTTTGTATGTTTTGTGCATTTCTGTAATTTTAGTGAAATAATCTGTCGTTTTCATCTCTATAAGATTGGCATCTAGATATTCAAACGGACCATCCATCCAGACTTCGTAATCTTTTTGCCACTGATAAATCACGTGAATCAAAGAGCAAAATGAATGCATCACTTCTTTAATCTCATCGACTTTGGGAAACGTTGTCTCTGGAAATTTAAACAATTTTTCTTCGCAGTTTATAGATTCTATTTGATTGTCTATTTGATAAATTTTGGTTAATATGGCAGCAAGAAATTCCCGATACTCGAATACTCTTTTCGTATCGTCCATATCATTCATAATAACCAATTCGGGAAAAATGGCATCAATATCAGCATTTAGTACATTTATCTTTCTCTGAAGTTCATCTTCTAATTCTCCTTTTTTCGCTTCACAAAAAATATTGTGCTGACTGAAAACTGGCTTGATCAATTCCAACCAATTGATTGTACATTTATTTAATTCTATATGCTCATCGGAAAGTAGAGCAATGTCAATCAAAGATGTCAACATTAATACTGATTTTTGGATTTTCTTTTCTAAATTTTTGACTAATACTTTTGAGGCATAAGAAACGTAGTCTGTAAGTTCAAATAATGATTTTGTATCGTCCGGTATTGAAAGAGCTCGATTTTCAAGGTTTTCAAAAGCTGTACATATAGAAAAGTTCAGTTCTTGATGATTATCTACAAGTTCGTTAACAAGCATATCTATAATTTCAGAAGTACAGCGCTTCAAATCATTGATGGCAGGAGTTTGATTGAGCACTCCAAAATTATAATATACCTTTTCTACCATGGTATTTATTTCTGATAAATAAGCGTTAAATTTATTGATTTCCGCGCAGTAAACTTCAAAATTCTTTTTCTTTCCAATTAATCTTTGCGTTTGTTTCTTTGTAACAACGGAGCACAATACATTAAAGCGTTCACAAACAAATGCATAATGTTCTAGCAACGGATTAAAACTTCTTTCAAGCACTTCTTGTAAATCGAGATGAGCTTTTTCTGAAAACCACTCCGGTACCTCGATTTTCATGAACGGATTGGACTTTTTCACTCGTGATATTTGACGTTGAAAATGCCTTTTCCCTTCTTTAAATTTCGAAATATATCTTTTCTCTTCATCCGATGGCTTATCCAATTGCACAAAGATTTGCACTACATTCATTATATCGTCAACTATTCCATGATAGTTTGCAAATATTGTATCGACGCTCGGATCTAACACTAAAGTATTATTTCTGCATATTAGATGCATTTTTAATTGTGCACAAGATCCCGAATCTTTGACCATTTCAATAAGATTATTGATACTATTTTTTATAAATTTTAAAATTTGTCGTATCATAAAGTGTTCAGCACAGTGCAATATTTTTGGCAGTTTTCCGTTAATTTCTAAAATCTTCATTTCTTGAATAATTTCAAGGTCACTTTTCAATCGCTTTTTATTTTTCATAAATTTGATCGGCTCGTTCTCGTAGCGTCTTATAATCTCGATAATTTTTTTGTAACATTGCAGATGTATGTTGCAACTTTGTTTTAAGTCACACTTTATTTTCGCAATCAACTCGGCCATGAAAAGTGGTTCACTTGTTCTGTAACTACTGAAGTTGATCAAACTCTCATCATTGAACATTTGCATTCTATTAATTTCATTGAAGTAATATTTATTAAAAACAACACCGATCAAACGATGACTTAAAAAAAGACTTTCTTCGAAGCGCGTGCGATGTTCTTCAAATTGTTCACTTTTTTGTCGAAACTGTTCATTGCACACTGTAGGCAAAGAATAATTTATTACAATTTGCGCATCAGAATCTTCTTCCCTCGCGTTAACGATACTTTTTATATTGAATTGTTGTATTGTATCTTGATAATCTTGCTTTACTTCTTTCATCAGAGCTTCCAAGTATTTTCGATGGTTGTTTCTCGATTTTTCAGGAATCAAATTGTGAATATTCATTTCCCATTCTGGCTGAAGACTTTGTTTACCGATCGTTTGCGCCAATTTGATAAGTTGCTCGGTGTAAAAAGCTCTTGTCACAAGATTAATGCTTTGTTTCCATTTATCCGACATTTTGATCGCTCTACAAGCTTGTAAATCAGATTGTCGAGTCGACTTGACCAGCTTTTTCGCTCCAGCGCGAAATTTGTGAAGTGGGCTATTCACTTTGTGCTCTTTATTCGTTAATTCAAGCTTTGGTATTGGTGTCAGACGAGGCACTTTGGTTTTATCGTTAATAAGCTTATAAAACTCTAGTCTTTCGGACATCTTTGCGTTGACACACTGAACACGAGTTTTTTTTTAACGTCGGATGGTGGAAATCGCAAGTACGGAAATCTACAAAGTTTTGTCTGTATCCAAGGAAACCCGGAAATTGAATGAAGAATGAAGCCGCCCCCCCCCCACCCCACCTACCCACCTAAATTGTGCAGCCAGTGGCATTGTAGGCAAACACTATATACGTTACTATATACCCACTTATACATTTGCGTGAGCACTACCGTTCGACTGGTGCGACTTCTGTATGTGTGAGCGGTGTGAGGCTAAAATAGACTGCATATACGTTGTACCTACATATACTTATCAAATCTTATATTACTATTACTTTTACTACTACTTCATACAAATTTTAAATTCTAGATTTTTTAACTAGTGATTTTTATTAAAAATATCGGAGCAAATTCGTTTTTGTTGTACGACATGCGAATGCATGTTTGAAGAAGCAAGAAGAGAAATTTACGAAAGGAGGGTCTACGTATTTTAGGTTATATGTACTGTTTACTAACAAAGTACAATGAGCAACATTTACATTCAAGAACCACCCACGTCAGGGAAGGTAAATAACAAATTTAAGGCATTAATAAAATAATAAATTCACTCAAATTTTATTATTTTAATAACTTACCTTATTTGATAGGTTGTGATGAAAACAACTGCTGGCGATATAGACTTGGAATTATGGACTAAAGAAGCTCCAAAAGCTTGCAGAAATTTTATTCAGCTCTGTCTGGAAGGATATTATGACAATACAATATTTCATCGAGTTGTCAAAGGATTCATTATACAAGGTGGAGATCCTACAGGCACAGGAGAAGGTGGTGAGAGTATATATGGAGAACCATTCAAAGTATACAAAGATTTTTAAGTCAAATACATTATATTGAAGGTACGAAATGTTATAAATATTATATTTTCAGGATGAATTCCACACAAGGTTACGATTCTGTCGAAGGGGTTTACTGGCAATGGCCAATGCTGGAAAAAATGATAACGGTTCCCAATTTTTTTTCACACTTGCTGCTACTCCTGAATTGCAAAATAAACATACAATATTTGGAAAAGTAGCCGGAGATACAATATATAACATACTCAAATTGGAAGATGCATTAGTTGATGAAAATGATAGGCCTGTTTTTGCTCAAAAAATACTTAAAACTGAAGTTTTAAATAATCCCTTTGATGATATCGTACCAAGAACAGTTCCTAAATCAGAAGTTAGTGAGGAAAACGAAAAGAAGAAAAGTAAAAAAGATAAAAAAGGAGTAAAGTACGTAAACTTGGCATATTTTTTATTTGTTATTTTCATATCATATTTCTTATGATAGTTCAAACAATTAATATTTAACAGAGATTTTAAACTACTATCTTTTGGGGAAGAGGCTGAAGATGATGAGGAAGAAACAACAGTTATAACTAAGAAATTTGGAAATAAAAGTAAATCAGCTCATGATAATTTATCAGATCCAAAACTAAGTTCTGAACCGGTAATTAGCTCTGAGGAACCACCACCTAAAAAAGTGAAGGATGATAAAGACAATAGCTCAGACGATGATAATGACTCAGAAAATGTAGAAGAAAAATATCAAAAAGAACAAGAAAAAATGTAATTATACAATTAAATGCATTAACCTGCTTTGTATTCAATGGATTTTAATGTTTTTCAGAGAAATGACAGAAAGAGTGCGAAATAAATTAAAAAGTTCAAAAAAGAATCCTGTCAATGATGAGTCAGAAGAGGAATACTATGTTGGAAAAGACAGAATAGATGAAAGAAAAAGGAAAACGTATGTGACAAAAAAATTCGTTCTAACGTGTGTTTTAAATAATTTCTTATTTAATATCTTTAATTTACAGGGAAGAAATTAAAAAGGAAATACGTGATCTCAAGCGAGAAATGAGAAACGATCGAAACAAAAAAGCAGAAGATGATAAAATCAAAGAAGAAGAACAGAAAAAGAAAGAATCAACCTCAGAATTTGTCAAAGAATTTTATGAAACTCAAGAAGAATATAAAAAGGAAACGTTAAAGGTGCCGAAGAAAGGTAAAAGTTATCTGAACATTTAGAAAACTAATTTGAAATTGATTAATGGATAATGTCTTAAACATTTACACACATTTTTATTTTCAGGCTCTTCACGGGAAAATTTTACCATGCAATTTCTTAGTAAATTTAAAAGCAAAATGAGTTCCGTTAGAGAAAAGTGTATGGATGACAATGACAATAATGATTCGGCATCGAATATCAAAGAAACCATTGATGACGATGATGATCTTAAAGATGATACTTGGATGGGAAATAGATTCAAATGCGAAGAGAAAGCTCCAGTTCTAGCTAAAGATGCCAACACAAAAAGTGATGATTGGTTTGAGATTTATGATCCACGAAATCCTTTGAACAAAAGAAGACGTGGTGAGACAAGTGATTCCAAACGAAAACCACAAAGAGACAGAAGATAACGTGGTCGGAAAAGTACATCGTAATCTCGTGTATAAAGTTATTTAAGATTATAGCCATTATTTTATTGTATATATGATAAGAAAATATATAATCAAGAAATACATTGTTTTAAATAGCACGAAACCCGTGGTTTACATTTTTAATTTAAAGTTTAACCAATACAATTTTATACTTGAATTCTCAGAATGGCTGCTCTGTATTGACACAGCCATTATCATCTTTGATAAATAGCCTCAGTGTACATTTTACAACTATAATCTTCATTATCTCATGTACGCTAATATATACCTGTAATTATTTTCAAAAAATTGAGGAAATCATAAAAATGTTTATAAATAATTATTAGCCTTACGAGTAAATACAGTAAGCGGTTCTAAACTTTTCCAAGCAATAAACAGTAATATATAATTAATCGCAGCGAAAGTCGTAAATCCACTGGGGTAAAAATTAAACAAAAAACCCGCGTTAAGAAGCTCATAACAGCGTGAATCACTGTCGATATCACAAAAGGGAGATAAGCAACAAATAGATAGAATAGATTGTAGTATCTTCGTATGCTAGTAAATTTGCAGCCGCTGATTAAATAACTTCTGTATATGGTTTGTTAAGTGATGGGAGCTGTAGTCTGTTGTAAGCTCTGCGATCTTGAGGAAGAAGAAAGCTAATCACCTCGGACGACGCAGTGATCGTCTCTCTCTCTCTCTCTGTCTCTATCGTTTATTTGAATACACCACGCGCCGCTCAGAGTCGAGTATAGCCAGTTGTAAGTGTGAGCTCTGAAAGCGCGTATCTCTGCGTGAGCGCAGACAGAAATGTTCAAAGTTAGTTAGCAGAAAGTTGAATTTTCATTCTTCGCACTTTTTGGGTAGATCGAAAAAAAAGATGATGGACGACGATTGTGAAAGTGGACAAACAATGTCGAAAATGCCCTTGAGGCTGGATTCATTGGGTGAGTATTTCTCGATTTGTAATTCTCTATCATTTGCGTAAAGATAATGAAAGAATGAGTGCGCGAGATAGCAAACGAGAGTAAAAATGATTCGAAGAAAGCTTAAAGGTCATCGATTCCCTTCTGCTTTTTCTCATTTTTCTCGGTTGCATTCGTGACAACTGTTGTCGAGAATATTGACTTTGCACACGAGAGAGTTGCAAGTGACTTGCGCAAGCTTATCCGCAAGCTATTTTGCGCCGTAAGTGTACCATGCCGACAGCTACGTTTGAAAAATTTTATGCGACTATCTTTTTGTTTTCGTGATGTAACTGTATCAATCGGGTTCCTGTTTATCATGCAATGCTTGGAAAAATATGTCGTTTTGTATATGACATTCGACAGGCTATTTGAAAGCCAGATATTAAAATCCTCTTTGATTTATGATCATTGATATTTAGGTGTGCGAATTGATTTTCGACACGTTAATTTAAAAACAATTATTCAATATAATTGGCTGAACGATTCAAACAAAAACGGAAGACTGTTGCGATGTAATTATGCGACTGCCACAACTTGATCATTGAATAATTGATTAGTCTGCGTTGAAAATTCATTTGATGTCATTGAATCAGTTAATAAAACGTCGAGGCCTCGCGGTAAAGACGAAGACAATTCCCAAACAAATACTAAGAGAGGCACCGATTAAAACGAGAGGGCGAGAGATCTCCTGTGAACCTCGTGCGTTTTAAATATAGTCGCGGCGTACAGGCAACGCAGTATTATATTCGATGCGGTTCGCAAGTGTGACACGTATCCTACGATACATAGAGAGATAAGATGAGCGAGTCTTTTTGTCTCGCGAGAGAAAGAAAAATTTCGCGCTGAGTTCATTAATTGACATTGACATTGATTCGTGTTGAAAAATTTTATGCCCGTTTTTGAATGCTTTTTTACGACTTCGAGCTCTGTATATAATGTCTGCTTGAAAATATTTTTCTCTTCGAGTTGAGCGTGAGCTGAGACAATATTTACTGATCATTTGACGTTTGATAAGATGAAAATTGATGTAATGATGGTTTTATTTATTTTTTTTATTTTATACGACATAGTTTGCACGCGCTAAAATTGTTTATTTTGGAGTAAAATCAAATGAGCTTTTATTTTTTAATGCAATGTAGAGAACGATTTCGTGTTTACCTTTGCGAATAAATTATATGTACTACTGAATATCAGAATTTTCATAATTTTTGCAAAAAAAGAAGAAGACCGTAAAAACATCATTATAAAACCAGAGATCCGTTATTCTCTATTAAGTTCGCTATGTTTTACTAATAAAATATGATTTCTTGGATTCATCATAAAAAAATTAGGATAGCAATTAATTTTATATGATGACACTACTATTCTCTGTTAAATTTGAAAAAGAAACCATTTGTCGCACATTTTGCAGCCGACCGTGTCAAAAATGTTTTCAGTCTCGAAATAAACGTAAAGGTACGCTCACGCATCATTATTTTTGTCACACAAATGAGAAATACAAATATACACTCAGTAGTATACACGCGCAATGGAAAGTTCTTAACTGTAATATACGAGAAATTTACATGGCAAGTTCAATCAATATGCGTGACGACTATACAAGCTTGTTGATTTCACCAACAATAAGATCTCTGAGTGATGATATCTATTGAATAAAAGATAAGAAATCTCAACACAGTTTCCTACTTGTAAAACAATTTTAATGACGGAAAACTTTTTCATTTCAATAGATGACAGATTACAAAGTAAATTACAAAGTAGATTAGATTGCAGCGCCAACTATTCTGTAGCTATTAAGAATTAAAAATTGATATTATATGGAATATGTCTTTGTATAGTTAATATTTTCGGAGCTGACCGTGAAACTTAATTGCCGTCGTGGAAGTTAATGCGTTCTCGAAACTCGAAGAATGGTCTTTGTACTACAAGCAAGTTCATCTCTTTGTTGTGTGTTCTTATTACACAGAATGCTCTTTCTTTTATATTTATAGCTAATTCTCTATCGTAATCTCCGCACGTGTTTAATTTTACATTACGTAATTTTGTAATAACCACAAATATTCTTTGCCATAAAATAAAGTGAATCATATTTTTAACGAACCAAACATCTTATAGCCATAAAGTATCTACATGATTTGTAAAGGAATTTGATAAGGAATAGATTTTTACGCGAACAGTCGAAGACACATAGTCTTTGCGATTTCTAAACTTTGTTTTAGACTATCATTAAGTTGCCATTTAGTCAACTAATAAAAATTCTTTCACCTTCAGCTAAAAAAATTGAAATTCTGAGAAATTTAATTGATTGATATCGCTTTTTAATGTCTTTTGAACAAAGTATAACTTTAAAATGCGTGCATTTGTTTCGTAATTAATGCAACATTCCGTAATTGTATGCCGAAAAAAGTCGAGCTCTATATATGTCAATTAAAGTATGCATATTACACATCATGAAATATACTTATTGCGACGCAATTACATATTTTGTAATGAAACGTTATTAACGTTAGACATATTCTATAACTATGTATGATAAAAACGCATCATATACAAATATCATTTTGTTTCTTTAGACCAAGCCCATTTATTCAAATCGCCTGATTTTCTTACGCTTTAAGCTGGCAAAGTTTCAAACATTGTGCAAAATGTACGTATTGTACGCGCCAATTGAATCGGGATTTTTTGCAAAAATTTCCGACATCAATTGCGTAGAAAGGAAAGAAAATTCACTTGCATTTGAGAAGACAATTCAAAGTCATAGCGACACAACGACACGCGCGGAAAGGCATTTGAACAAATTCTATATTGAATATGCTGCATTTTAATGCCGATACAATTATCGCTCGATATTATGAACATTCGATGTAATGACGCATTACGAGACAACCAATTTTCTTTTTTGTCGAGGATATTGGGACGGACACGCGCGTTTTTTCTCGATAAAGTAATCTAGATACTTTTCTTAATTTGTCGCCACTTGATCGCTAAAGTTTGGATAAGCTATTTATTATTTTTCACATTGATCATACGCAGCAAGCCTAAAAAATTATTTTTATGAATTTTTCATTTTTTTTCTATTTAATTAAAATTTATGTTTGTACCGCACGCCAGTTTAATAAAAATTCACGCGCATGTTTAGAAGTCAATTAAGTATAGCTGCGCGCGGCATGTCAAGTGTACTACGTTTTAAAACGGCGAATTTCCAATATAATCCAATATAATACATTATGAAATGCACATGATGTAACTCTGCTCGTTATGAATTTATTTAGCATAAGTAATCTTGCAATATGCTATTGCGACGTTTTATATCTGTCAGTAGTATTCAAAACGCATACGGGCAAGAACTGCATTGAAAGTTGAATGAATATGATAAGTGACGCATAAAGGAGAACTCGATCACTTGAAAATTCGAGAGCTTGTACACTTGAAAAAGTTGATCACTTGTCGCTTGTTTTCGACCGTTGATACGCGCAAGTAGGAAACTAAAAATTCGGAGACTAGTACCGTTACATAATTAGTTATCAAAGCTGATGATCGAATAATTAACAAAATATACCTGCGTCTTAGAGTGATTATTACAATAAAATAATAGCGAACAAAAGATGTTTCGCTCGATCCTATCGCCTATCTGTCCGGTTCTCTTTGTGATAAATAGATGACAGCTAATGCAAGTTTGTCCGGTGCAAACATTCATCCGTTTCTTCGATACAATCTGCAGTCAAGATTATTTATTTTATATATTTATATAGCAGTGCTTTAAAGATAATCATAAACATAATTGTTGTGTGTAACGCATTGACTAATGTAAGTTATAAAATTTTGCTTCTGAAAGTTATTAAAATACTGTGTAAAACTAGGTAATTCCGAAAATGACATTCATTTCTGACGACAATTATCGAAAAGTAGGCCGCAGACAGGTCTATATTTAAACGATTCAAGGTATTCAACTTTGAATTATCAATTGCAATGCGATCTCTTATCGGAGTAGTTTGATTGAACCCAATCGACCAAGATTAAATAATTAATGCTCGAGCTTCATAAAGTCGTCGTAAAGTACAAGGTTCATAGTTCTCTATGTTTTGTTTTCAAAATGCAGATGATGGACTTCGTCCGCGAGACTGGCAGCCACGAGGGCCACACTGTAAAGTTCCATTGCGTCTCGTTCGTCTGTGTTTCCTCGGTGTAATTCTGCCGGTCGTGTTCGTCGCTGGACCCGTTTATTTGAAATATAGAGTGTTTTCGGAGCAACTCTACCCTGTGACTATTTCCGATCAACGCCTTATCGACCATAGAATGTCGACAACTTGGTGTCAGGTATGAGAAAAATATTGATAATTGTTCACTGGATCTGTCCACTCCTACAAGCTAATGAAATTTTGATGTAAAATAAAATGAGTTTTCCAAATAGTAAGCTTTTCGTTCGTGAAATGGTCGTATTTCAGAATTCATTGCAACTTATCTCGTTAGATTACCGACCGCAACATATAATAGCATCGTGAGAAATGGAACGCTTGATGCAATCCTCACTTTCACTCGAAATGCAAACCAATGTCGTTGTCACGAGCTTAACACTTTATATCTCACTTTGCATAGTAAAAGAAAGTAATGGTTTGAAAAATAACGAATCTTATTCCATGAAAATGCATCTGTTCATCGATCCAAATGATATTTTACAAATCATTCCTGTTCAACGGAGATTTGCATCCAATCCGCTGCGGGAGCGTGCATTTTTGCTTTCGTCTCGCAATAAATACATTCGGGATCACACAAAGTGAGGATTACACTGATAAAGTGTGAGAAGCGTTCGAAATTCTTCAAACTGGTTATAATATCAGATGATTACCGCAGCTTAACGGCACATCTATCATTCGCAATAGGTGTGAAATTTAATTGTGCCTAGATAACGACTCGAGCCGTTGAGTAGATAACTATATATTCCTTATTATTTGCAACTGGATTATTGGTTCGTATAGTTACCAACTGCATGAATTCAGCTATTCGCTGGAACTTAATCTGCTGGACTTTCCAAATCTATGTTGTTATATATTGTATGATTCATTTTAGGGTAAATTCCCACTGTCGCGTATTCTTTCGTAAATGCTCCTCGAAACTTTTAATGAATGTCAGTTGCCATAAATCCTATTAGATAACCACTGCTTTACATTGCAGAAACAGGTACTAAAGGTCAATGCAACATTCAATGCTTACTTGATGAACGATACTCCCAAGATGAGGGAAGGGGTGATTCCAGTTGCAATGACGAGACATTTGGTCCTTGAGGATGATATGAAAGAGTATTGGGGATTTTATTTGCTACGTGGGAGCAGCGTCACTGTCTCAACTTGTGTAAGGTATATGTTTGTCGTTAGGTGTATTGTCAGTATTTTATTGTTTTTTTTCGTTAATTCGAGATGAACTTGAGATCAGTAGACTGTTATGTAATTAGCGTAACTGCGAGATGACAAAAAAATGAGATAATTGTACACGCCTATAAAACTTGTACGATACTGTATCGACAGTCGATACGATTGAATGTCAAACATTAAAAAAGACATCTACTTTTGTTTGTCTACAAAAAATTATAACCTAGAAAATTGTCAAAATTCGTAGTCAGTTTATAAGTCTCAATAACGTACAAAAATCCACATCAATCAATTAAAAATTTAATTAGCTTTGTTCTGTCAAAAAATGGTAATGTTCTTCAGTTTCTTTCTAAGTTATTTTTCAAAAACAATAAAATAAAAAATCTATGTCTTACGGAAAAATACATTGAAAACTATATTTGTATCTATTTTTAATTAAATTTTATTACGGAAACAAATTGAAGAACATTACGAATCTTTGACATAACGAAGTAATTTCCATGTTCAAAATTATAGGTCGCCGTCGATTTTTTAATGTTATTAACGAAAATTTTGCTAAAAAATACCGAAAATCGTTGCCACGATGCCACACAAATTCACTAAATGGCTTCTAGAACCTTTTCTAATAAATATTAAGATGTATAAATTAATACACATATTATCGAGACTTTATCAAATAATGTAGCATAAAAAATTTATGATTTTCGAAAATTCATAATTAGACTTCTCGATCAAAGTTACGAGTTTTAGCAATTTTCAGGTTAATATTTTTTTGTAGACTAACAAAATTAGATAACGTATTCGGTCAAAGACTATGAGAAATTAGATATTTTAGGAGTACTTCCAAATTTTTTTATTTCAATCCATAACTTTTTTATAACGAGCGAGTAAAAGACAAAAAGAATGCTTTTAATCGCGCGGCTAGCCGAAGTTGAGTACTTGGTAATAGAACCACGTTCAAAACAAACCACCTTATTATAATTTCTTCCCGGAATGTGTAACATTATGTATACTATGTGTAACATTTTTCTTTATTTCGAACGTTATCGATTTGATATTATTTATCAAAGAGATGTATTTCGCATTTAGATCATTTGTATTGATAATCGCAGAGTATCAGGTTGAAAAATTTAGATAAATTTTAATGAAAAGAATTACTTTATGATTTCAACTTGAAATCGTAGAATAGGAAATCTATAGAAAGAGACCTTGAAATATACGAGCACGATGAATTGTCGAGATTTTGAAAAATTCCACTTTTTTTTAGAGTGTGATAATTTTAGGTTTATTGAAAATTGGTTCGATAGTAAAATGAAAACACGTAAAAGCGTGCAATAAGAAAAATAATGTAAATGAAATAATTTTGTTAGTTTTCGTTAATGCAAACACTATTTCGCGTATAAAATGCTAAAAGAAATATTTTACAGATGGCAAGGGGCTTCGCTAACGGTAATTCGTGGACATAAAAATTTGCACGAATGCGCATTTATCGGCGACGACAGCAGCGAAGAGCTCGAGGAGCTCGTTGAAGAAGCCGAAGAACGTGGCCTTCTACAAACGCCCAACGGATTGGTAAGTTCAAGCGATGATGGAGACACTGAGAGCTTGAGAGTTTTTTATTGTTATTGTTATTATTACTTCAAGAACTACGTCCACGTGGAACGCTGCAGAGGTACCTAAGTACCTGTATACGCATTAGTCTTGGTTCCCTATAGTCATGAATATGCAGACTCAAAAGATCATTCTACCATTTACTGATTAATAAATATTTCGTTTGCGCAATAAGAAATTTAGTGAAAATTGAAATCGTGTTTGTATCCGCTTAATGGCAATTGCGTAGATATATTATACGAAGAGTTTAATTTACTTTGAATAAGGACATTGGCATGATTAAAAGATTCTTTTTTGTCTTCTTATTTATTTATTTTTTTTTTACATTTTGTCTAAAAAACATTTGAAAAAATGTGTCACAATTAATTTTTTTAAGAGGTACGTTCCAATTAAACAAAATCTAAGTTCATTCTTTTATAAGGCTTCCATTATATATGGATAAATGATGTTTTATCTATTTTTGAATCTTGACGCTGTTGGTGTTGTGAGCATTAAGCTCTTCACCAGACAATTAGGATGTTCCTTTAGACGATCGACGTATCTTCTGCGAATTGTTTCAATTTCATCTCTTACGGTCGGTATGTTAAATTCTTTTCTAATTATTTCATTTGTAACAAATTATAGTGCGTTTATGACGAATCTTAAGGCTTTGCTTTGAAATTTTTCAATAATATCGATGTTTGATTTTGTGGCAGTTATAGTTGAATGTTACATGTCCATACTGGTTTGATGATACACTCGTATCTTAATAATTTATTATTGATTAACAATTAAAATTTTCTGGCTATTAGCCAGTAACATTTTCTTAGCTATAGATCGATCTGTTTGTCTCCGATTCAAATGTGGGCTCTCCACGTTAGTTAATAAACCAAGTGAAAAAAAATTGACAAAGAAAAATTTTCTTCGTGCTTACTGCCATCAAACGCACCTTCGAAAATATACATTGTTGAGTGACAAAATCCATCTTTCGCAAGAAAAAGAGAAGTCAATGTGAAAACCGCAAATACTTACTAAAACGTCTGGTCTGATATTTGCCCGCGTTGAATGTTTATTTACCAGATGCGATGGGGATTTGTTCGTATGCGTCAAGCATACGAAAAAATATTTATTAATTGTTTGCATTTAATATCTTTTCTCTTGTGTTTGAAAGCATATCAAATACAAATAACAATGAGAATGAACAGAAGTTTGAAAATGGCATTAGTTAAGGGAAAAATAATTTTATTTGGCGAATCGCCGAGATTTGATGGAAATAAAATGCGAGCAGTTGTGAATGAATTCCGCGTTTATTCCATTGTTGCCAGTTGATTACTAGTCGTGATTAAAGCAAAGCATAGAAAATTACGCGACAAACAAATTTTCCAAGAACCTGAGCGCGATAAGATTGCGCGTTCTATCTCCAGTTTATTGCAGCAACTTTTCTTACGCAACATTGGAATTTCAGCCCGCACGAAAAATAGAAGGCGAGCTTTTGAAGGCTCGGCGATCGATAACCGGAGGGTAGATGTTATTTTTACCCCTGTTTAGCATCGACCAAACAGGCCATAAGCCGCATGCAGTCGTTGCATTCTCTGGATGTGCAAATGGAGCTTGATCGATATATCGAATTGATGCTTGCAGGTGTTGGACGGGCCTAGCAACGAACCTTGGCGCATGAGGCGCGTCCACCAGGGTGTGCAGTTTCATCAGAACGAGACTGCCGCCAATGCCAACCAAGTCACAGCCCATCATCAGTACACCAGCCATGAACTCGATGCCAAGGACATGCGAGCCATTCTCACGCAGCTCTTTATGAAGACCCTGGACATGAGGAAGAAACAGAAAGAGGGCCACCAGCATCATCATCACGAAGGCACTTTCAAGGAGGATGATAATATCGATAAGCCGCCTTCCTTCGACGACACGGATTTTATACAGCATGAATTGCTGTCGTTGAGGAGACAGGCTGCTTCCGATGCAACTCCTTCGGGAGAAACTGACACGGCCGGTGCCGCTCGCTCGACGTCAGGTAAGAATGATCTCTGAGGATAGTTCACTTCGTTACTTGTCAATGAAAATGTCTATTTGAGCGGTTTTATATGTTTTTACAGCGCTCAAATTTTTGAATATCACATTTTTAGAGGTAACATTAAGCTAGTTATGGTTGGTTTACTTCAAACATCATTTGACTTAGAGTTGTTGTTTTCAGCAGAGACTACTACCAAAGCGCCAGCGCCGGAAGTCAAATCGACGACCGTTCAATCAATGTTGGCCGAGATCAATTCCACAACGGGACCATCGTCTAAGGAAGTGTTTGAAGATGCATTGCATAAAATAAGCGCGTTGGGCCAGCGAGGACGGAAAGTTCTAAACAAACTCATCGAGGAAATTAATCATCGTGATCCAGAAACTGAGCAGATGGTGAAGAAGGTCATCGAGGAAGTGACCGACAGAGAAGAGAAACGGATGAAGAGAGACCTTTTTTTGTCGTCGCCTATGGCAGAACAATTGTCGGGCGACGATGAGGATGACGATGCTGCTGTCGAAGCGGTGAATATCATCAAGATTTCAAAGTTAATTGAACGCATGACATTCATAAGTGTTTTACGTCGCGCAGGGAATGTTACGTCCTGATGGGATTGCAGAATACCGCGGTACAGTCAACGAGACGACTCTCAACGACAGAAGTAACTCCGAGTTTTGGAGTTCGTTTAGTAGTTCCGAAGAGAGACTTTTGACTTGCAGAGGTTTGATTCTGAATCTTCCACTAACGCCACATCGTTTCTGCGAACCGAAGTTTGAACGTCATCACAAAACGGCTTCAGTGGCTAATACGATAACTTACAGGTATGCGGACATCTGGTGTTCGTCTATTTGAGAATTAATATTCATACATTTATAAAATTCGAGAAATAACGCCTTCGTCTTGTTTCCAGAGTGCCAACCGATGGATACTATTTCTTCGTCTTTAGTTCAGAAAACGAAATTCAGCCAAACTACATGCACGTCAAATTCGAGCTGCTCAGAAAGTCCTACAATATATCTAATCCAGTACACGAATGTAAAAACAGTACGGGCGAATGTTCTTTGCCCATTAGCTTCTTTAGCAGCGAGCGTACTGTACTTGAATTACCAGTAGGTATCAATGATTCTCAATGGAACGAAGAGTACGTTGTCATTTCGACGTGTGAACCGAGAACTTCTATTTACCTCTTATGCATTCTTGCTGTTCCGCTGCTTATCTTAATGTTTGCCTTTTATTGAGGTGTAGCCAGCTAATACTGGAAATATTTAGCTCGCGTAAACAAAAATGTTGAAAATTTTTTTTTTTTTAAATAGAATATTTCTTCAATGGCTATAAAGTTACTTTTTATACATTGGTTTTAAAAATTACTTTGAGATTACAATTTGTAGCAATTGTAAGTGTACTGATAAAAACTTTTTTTTGCGGTAGAAGAATCATCTTCAGAAACATCTTCGTAAAAATGTTTTATAAAGTGAATTGAGAGCAGCCACTGCAAGTACCTGTCTAGTTAGTAATAAATATTGGATTGCTCAAAATGATAATGATGAACGTCAAAGTCATTAGCATTATGTATGTTTTCAAAGACTGTTAATTGCAATGGCTACTATGTACGAAAGAAAAGTCACTTAATAAGCTAGTATTATAATCTTCCTATTACGAAAATGCAATAATATAGGAATATGATTGTCCTCGAGTAATTATACGGGTGCTTCGTTGTACTTAAAAAGTACTCTAATTTAACTTTGTATATAACAATTGAGAACGAAGTATTTCGGTTGACGATACTTCTTTCATTCTAATAATAATAAACTCATGATTTTACGTGCACGCAAAGAGCAAGTCGTGCCAAAGTTTGTTATAAGTGTAATACAAATGTATCTTGAAAGTAAATTATGTGATACCTTGAGTTATATACTACGATTGTTGGGAAATGCTTACTCCTAATTTAGATTTTAAGACCACAATATATGAACGAGATTTAAGATGAAAAGCACATATTTTTTCATTTGGATTATTTGATCCACACGATATTTTAACAATATTACTAGTTTATCAAATAACAGTTAAAATATTGTTTTTGATGATATTGCTACTTCATGATATCATACCTTATGAATTAAAGTATTATTTTAAGCATCTTATGTGATCATACCTCGATATGAAAAAGAGATACTGTTATTTTAGTGCGAAGTAGGGCATTTGTTAATCGCGTAATGGCATTTTACAAGAATTTTATACTGTGTAATTGAACGTGATGTTAAGAAGATTGGCGAATGGAATATCATAAATTACAATTTTCTTGATGTTTTTATCGAACGACATTGGAGTTTGTGTAACCGGTTCATAGGATACTGACGTTAGAAAAATAAGTGATGTATATATTTAGAATGAATTGATACAAAACAGACAGTTAGGAAACTGTGAAATTTACATTGTTGTTTTTTATAAACTACGACTGTTGTTATACTTACTTTCTTAATAATATATGTGTTATATATTTGTATATTAACGTATAGTTAAATATATGTTTTTACCAAATTGAAACGACAGTCGCAATCCTTTGTCAACTACACCTAAAACAGCAAGCTGTACAATTATGAAAAGCACGAAACTAACGAAGTTACGAAGTCAAGTTTAATTAGCTTCCAGTGCCTGGAAGAAAGTATTATCATAAGACTCGGTCCGCGCGTCGATGATCCTTTTTGCCTCGCCAAGTTATCTCAAGCGAACGATCTGCCGGACGATTTGTCGTCTACCAGTCCTGGAGATTAATTTTTCATGTCTATGTAGCAGTGCGCCTGCTCGAGGGAAGAGGCGGAGCAGCGTCGAGACCCGAGCCTTATCGGTCGAAAACACTCGGTGCCGCAGCTGTGTCTATACCCGCTCCAAGATGCTCGCGGAAATCTTGGAAACGCCTTTGATCCTTAAGTTGCCTTCTATGAGTCCGATTAGTTGATTAATTTTCTTATTTTTAACATTTTCATCTTGTTTTTACCTTTCGCATGACAATTTTCATCTGAGCTGAAGATAAAATGTAACAAGGAAATAAGGGTCATTGTCCAACTTGATCAATCTCATGAGGCACATTAGAGAATTCGTTGTTATGCATGTGAAGAGAAAATAACAATATGAGAGTTAATATGCGGCGGCTGGTCGACAGTGATAAGGAAAATTGATTTCTCCGCTTAGCTGCCGCGCACCCCTGTTTGATCTGGTCCGCTTATTTTTATCACAAGCTCAGTTGCTTTCAGGGCGTTCACAATTTTCGCCATAATTTTACCTAACAAAAGTTGTCGTTCAACAGCAAAATTGTATTTGTCAAAGCGCAACGTTGAAATTTTAATTGCCAGCCTTTAAATTTACATTTCCAAAGTACGGCATCCCACACTTTCCTATTTTCAATAAAATTCGTAACCCGCATTTTTGCCGATTGTTATTGTGCTAATTTATAAACTAGGTAGGGTGGTGCAATTGGACAGCAAAGTGACGTTCATGGGACAGTGAGCAAAGCCAGTCGACACGCCTCCTCGTTGCTTTTGGCCCACCCTTTATTCGCACGACATTACGTTTCCCCCCTCGAGCATATTTCGATAATTACGCCTGAGTGCGCTTATGATATCGTTGATTTTCACGTGACAATTCGTGCGCCCGAGCCTATAACTATTTTTACTTTCTAAAATTTAGCTTGGGTTGTTGCTGACGCTCGTTGAATTTGAAAAGTTGTTCGTGTTCTCGTAGACAGGCGTTGGGAAGGACAGTAGGTAATTCTATAGTGCACTGTGGATTTTATTGCAATAAAGGAAATCATGAAAGCACCGCGAACGCTTTGCATCGCGGACTCTTTACTGTCAGTGGTAGCCGTTTAATTTCCCATATGACAAACCAACGGGGACAAAAGAAGCTTAAAAAGTATGTGCTGCACGAGAAATACAAATGGTCCCTCGGTGACAATGCGCCACACCGTAAATTTCGTAGCATTATGATTTTAAGAGGCCTAAATGATTTTCTGAAAAAAAAATACCCGAGAGTCACGTGACCGACACACGCGCCCCGCGATTACGTGCGCGCGTTGCGCTCGCCGCTCGAGTCCAACAATGTATTCATCCTCACGAGTCAACGCTGCGGCTGGCTCTGTGGGAAAACCATTGGCCACAGCCCTGCGGCACAGTGGGGGTTATTTGGTGATTGAAGACTCCTTATTGGCTCTCCCAACTTTATTGATTTTCAATTAATTTGTTCGATAGAAGGTGAGAAAAAAAAACATTGCACCGTTTACCCGTCATAGTATACTTTGCAAAAGGGAGTTAAAGTTGCGCATTGACACCCCCTGATTTTTTTAAGCCAAGGTAGGGCGTTTGCTTTAGGGTAGCATATGGGACAATTAGACTGCTGACATACAATGCGGTTTTATTTTAGCACGAATTTATTTGTATTCGTTATTTTTTATAATGTACGATATTTCATCTCACGCGTGCAAAACTAATTCACGATATTTTATTTCTAATCTTTATTACGTCAAGTTATTTATTATTTAGTTATTTCATTTTTAATAATAGCACATGATGTTATAAGTGAAAAACATAATATTTCTCAATCCACTCACCCATAGATACTTATAATTGCATTTGTAAGAATGTACTTTGACCAAGATAAAGCAATGTACTACTATAACGTTTAATAGATTGTGATTTCTATTTCATTTATAAATAGAAAAATATCATTAGTACTCTGAATTCATATAAATTTATGTATATAAAGGCTAGATTAAATTATTATACTTAAGTTATCTTTTTTAAAATGTCTTGGTTAAGTGCATAAGATTGTTGTGGATTGCATAATAGTTTATTTACTCCATAAATCAATACTAAATCACTTTTGCGTGTGTGTCGCACTAAAAAATATTGAAGCCAATTGTATTCAGATCCACGATAAATAAACATTTTTCAAACACTAAGTGAATGATGTAAACTTTTTTATACGATATTTTTATTAAATGAAAAAAACTTTGACGAAATTCAATATTATCTCATATTGTGCTAGTACTATTCGAATGATCGATCAATAAACGAAAGATTTAAAACTTAAATGAGATCATTCAGGCGTGTTTTCTATTATCCTCTTTAGCGATGACGGACTTTTCCCCTTTTCAAATCTCGGCGCGTGCTCACCTATTTTAAAAAGCTTAAAATCTAGATTGCAATAGAAAACTTCTCCCACGCAGATCGGGTCGAGTAATGACACTCGAATAAACACACACACACACACACACACACACATACTCAGCCGGACATTCAATCGCGACGATGACACCCCTCGAAAAATCTGACGCCCTAATTCGAGTGTCACAATAAAGCAACACGTGACCGGTGCGGTCACTTGACGGCAAAAGGAGGGGCGCCGCCGCATTATCTCGCTAGCCTAATGCATATTTGACTCACGAGAGGGGGGAGGGTCTTCTCTTTCAGTTTAGCTAGCTTTTGGTCAGGATACAGCGTTGATTATTCTCGATGAGACTGTATTTTTTCATTGAGAATGATTTGCATTTGATTAGCTGGGATACTTCTGCCATTGCATTTTTTACGTCTTATAGCATGTGTTACGTCAGCTTCTGTAAACTCGAATTTAGCCGTATGTCAGTGTGAATTTAATTATATTTAGTCATTCATTTCTGAACTTACATTATTACATTTTAAAATTATTGTTCATTATCTTATATAATTTACGTGCAATTTTCATCAAATAGCATATTTCGAAAATAAATATTTTCTAATTAATAAATATTTCTTCTACAAAGAATCTATCTACATACATAAAATAGTTTGAGGAAAATAAGGAAAATAAAATAGCAATATTTTGACGCGTTGCGCCATGTACAAAACTCTGGCAGTGTACATTATTCTCCATAAGTATAAAACAATAATTATGCAGTGATAAAATCGTCAACTAAAACGCGACATATCATCGATCCTGGGCTCGTCAGCCAATGCGAACTCGGCAACACGCAAGCGGAGGGATCTTGCGCGTATGGGGGCACATGATGGAGCTCCACCCACGCGCCAGTCGTCGCTGCTCCGCCTTCGCAAATCTCGGCTCGAACCAGGCTCAATCTGCGTCCTGCCTGTGTCTCTGCTGAGTCGTTCGAAGCTGCGAACATCTATCTGTTTAATTGTTTGAATTGTCAAATAGTGCGTGAATTCGTAGTGAAGTGAGGCACCGCGACCATTGCGATTGAAAGTTTGTGCGACTAAAATTGCGCTGATTGGCATTGCGATGGTACCCTTCGTGTTTAACTCATTTTTTGATGAGTAGATTTTATAATTGCAAAAGGATAACGAATATTTGGATAGTCGAAGAATGCAAGTCAATTCGAGTACATTAGACCAAGCCTTCATCACTTCATAGTGTGTCTGTAATAAAATAATTGTAGTTCTGCGTAAACTGATTAAACTTCTGCATTGTCGAATAGCACATTAGAGATAACGTTGTTATCAAAACGTACAATTGACTTTGTCAGCGTATCTAATGAATGTCAGGGGCAGCCTCTTTCATGGAATTTTTATCTGTTTCCGCTTTCTTATTTTCTTTGTTACGATTCGTTTTCCATTTATAATCAGATCCAAGATTATTATCCAAGCATTTGCATGTCTTTTTCGCCCGAATATTCGTCATTTTTAAGCATTATTCTTGAAAAAGATACGTTAACTAGTATCTTAAAGAACTAATTTTTTCTAAAAATTATGCAAGTTGTTATTTTTTTTACTTGATTTATAATTAATATAAATGACGAGTGTTAAAAAAGTTTTTTCTTCCAAATTGTAGCCTATGTTAACGTACAATAATGTCAGTTGCGGAACGTCGGAAAATGAAAACGGTTCACCGGCGGATTCCTTAATTTCCAATGACGGCGAAATCGTAGATGATCCCAATGATTCTCCAGAAACGCCAAGAGATACGGAAGAAGAAGCTACTCTTTCTGACGAATTTTATTCGCATGACACCGATGACGACGATGAAGGGAGAAAAAAACGAGATCGAGCTAATTCTGTAAGTGAAGAAATTATTTTCATTGCAAACGAATGAAAGATTTAATTTTCAATGCCAATAAGTCATAAAATTCGGTATGAAATATTTGTTCAGGCCGACGGTGTTTCCTCGTCCACAAATGGTCTACTGGAATCTTCATCTTCGCGTAGTGGAGGACTAGGTGTAAGAAAATTATTCACAAACAGTCGTGAGAGATGGCGGCAGCAAAACGTCAGTGGAGCTTTCGCGGAATTGAGAAAGTTGGTTCCAACACATCCACCCGACAAAAAATTATCGAAACATGAAATTTTACGTCAAGCAATCAAGTAAGTCACTGTCCGCACATTTATCTGAAAGCTAAAATATATATTATTTAAAATTATGCTCCGTGTGAAATTTCCTATTCGCCGTTTTGAAATTTAACTTTTTACCTAATAAAAGTACATTTTTCAGATATATTCGCGTGCTTATCAACGTCTTAGACTGGCAAAAGTTACAAGAACGCAATGGTATTATTAAAACGGATATTCGAGTAAAAACTGAACCAGTGCAGCAGCCAACAAACATGAATCTCAATTCAACCCCAAACTATCAAACGAAAGCAATTGCTTGTCTCAAGCAAGAAAATTATTGTCGTATAAATTTACCCAATGCGCGGCACGGAGATATTCCAGTTCCTAATACTAATCCCAATCATTATGATAAGAACCGGAACACTCTTTTAGTCAATGCGGCGCCAAATATAATCAATCATGTTGTACCTACAACGTCGAATAACATTATAAACAGCGCTATTCCATTCATCGTGAGCCATTCATCAATCAATGGTATAGCATCTTCCAGGCTTGTCAATGGAAAAATAAATCCGATCAAAAGTGGACCAGTCCAGGTGCCAACGGGACAGCATCACGTGTCTTCAAGTTCGTCTACGATATCAATGAGCAACAATAGTAACAGTTCGATGAAGAGGTTGAAGAGAGAATCAAGGGATGATGAAGATATAAATAATCGGAATAGGGATTGTCATCAAATAAGAGAATCGAATCAGGAAGAATTAGTGTCCTCGAGAAAAAGATTAAAAGTAACCTACGTAAAGAATTCTGGACGGATTTAAAACCTTGTTAAACGAAAGTCTCGCATTGTGTCCTGTAACATATCGTTTCTGTAAATGTTACCTAAAAATCTTTGATTTGACAGTGATGGCATATTCTATGCGAAATGAAAGAAAGTTATTGTATCCGAAGAAGATTTCGTCAACTCGTACGATTTATTCGACTTTGTTTGTATATATTTATATTTATATTAATGAAAAGACTAATCTTTTGTACAAAATATTATCAGATTAGAATAATAATTTTACTGATATCTTTTTGTTTAATCTTTAACAATCTAGTTTATGAATAAATTCATAAATAAATAAATTCATTTAATAAACTTTGGTTTCTGCTTGTTCGACTTAATATGACACATTAGTAACTAATTAATTTGGTACCAAAAAAGTAATTACAGTTTTTGAAATAAAACTTTATTTTTATATTTCAATATTATACAACGGCAAACGTATCATCCTTTAAGTAACAAAATACAGTTTTACAGCAAACGATATGTTTTAATAGTTAAAACTTCTTTGTTTTTTTTTTGTTTTCGAACAAATATCCATAAATATTCATGTATTTTTTTATGTACAGACGTTCAGTTACTATTAGATTGAACGATAAAACCTTACACCTCGAACATCTTATTATTTCATTTTTATCTTATTTTCGACTATTCAAGTTGTGGATTTTAGTCATATATAAAACGATGATTGTTTTCACTATTTTTTCATTACAGATGTGGATATATAACTAACGATAAAATGCTATAATATACTTTTCATCTATAATTGATTGTATAGGTTTGACTTTGTTAAAAAATAACGACAGAATTTATTAAAATATAATACGTAGAACCAGAATAGCATATATTTTGTTTTAATGATTATTAGCATATACGTCAATCTTCTTATCAACGGGTTTTGTTTATAAGATATTCATTACCTTTATTTTGAAATAAGTATTTGTAAGTTTGTAGCTACAATTCACCTGCCGTAATTTCAAATTTCTTCATTTATAAAACAAAGCTGATTGAATATGGTGGCTTTTTTTCGATGTAATAATATATAATGAATACAATTAGCTATAAATAAACAACCGAAAGATAACATGTTTGTTCATTCGCTTCACTGATCTTTGAAAATGATAAAAAATGTCATGAGTATACACAAAGTAAACGACACCAAACCTACAAGGGCAAAATATACATCGAATTTGATGCTGTGGCAGTGGCGTCCTGCTAGGTGAGATAAACTTTGTAATTGGTGCTATTCCTCCTTGGTCTAGTGGCGAAGCCGCTAGTCTTGGCGAACATCCTATAATCTACATCCCTGTAGATCTCTTCGATTTCGGGTGACGGAACCGGTGTACGAGGTCTGCTTGTCTCCACTAAATTTGTTACCCTTGGCCTAGTCTCATGACTATTTGGTACCTTTCTAGGTCTTGGATCGTATTGACTCATAGCTCTTCTGTGGTACACTTCGACTTCCTTGGTATTACTTTTGTATTCGATACTGCCTCGTTTACCAACCCGCGGACTGTAGTACGACGTATTGCCTACGCCCGGATTACCGACGCTACGAGATTGTCGCACTAGCAATGCGTTTGGTGCATAGGTCAATCTGCTGGCACTGTTAGCGTAAGCGTTGTTCTCGTAAGCTGCTGCTGACGAGCTACCCTTGTCGCACTCTCTACGATATGAATTCTCATAGTCGTCCGAGTAGGTTCTTCGCGGTGCTGCTGGCACAAGCGTATTTCTAGATTCACCACTTCGGTGAATCGCACCACTGTAGTACATTTTATCATTTGCTTTGCGTTCAGGACGTTGCTCAGGATTGGCCGACACGAACACTTGATCGCTGGTACTCGAGTCGCGTTTGACGCCAGATCTTTCGGGCAATTTACGCACACTGGCAGTAGTCTTCCACGCATTACTGCTTTCGCCGTTACTTCTCTTGTGAGTGTGTTCGTTGAACTCCATATCTTGACTACTCTGACGGACCGTCAGAGATGCCGATCGCTGAGATTCTTGCTGTTGCTGTTGCTGCTGAGTTTTATCTTCCTCGCCGTTGCTTTTGTTTATCGTCCAGATAGACTCTCGAGATGGATTGCGTACTCGCTTCGGCACCTCAGTCTCGATTTCGAAGTCGTATAACTCGCGCAGACGCTGCTTTATACGGCTGTCTGCCGATAGGCTGTCTTCCTCTCCTGTGTGTGAAATGTTCGTTAAAATTTCTCGCCCAATATAAGTTATATTTGAAATTACGTTGTTTCTGGCTCTACCAAAGTGTTTTCATTTATGCATACACTAGCTCTAACTGAAAAAAAAAACATGGAAATATTTAGCATTCCCTTACCTTTCAGCCTATTTATCGTCAACGTGTGAATGGTGTACGGGACGAGAGAACATTTATAACACAAGGATTTTATATTTTACTGTAAAAAATTATTTGTGCGTCACAATTAAGTTTAGTGGGTGTAAATAATAGAACAGAAAGTTTAGCCGGTTCGATACACATATATTTTTCTAATATTTGGTTTGGTTATGTTTACAGTATTTTTTAGTAAATGAACAGATCTCTTGATGTGAAATGAAAACATGCAAGATATGACGAATAAACAATCGAAAATAATTAATGTGCAAATCGAAATGTAGAAAATAATGTTTCTATGTATATTTACAAAACGTTCAGAAGGCGCATAATTAGTCGTAGCATTTTTTAATCCGACATTTTTCCTGATTTTCATTGTTTTTTTGGCACCAATAAAATAATAATAAAATGATTCCTATAGCTCGGAAATCCTAGATACTGAAAAAAATGATGCTCGTGTTAATTTCATAGCTAATGGTATTTTACAAGCGAGTGGACTTTTTAAATATTTTCGATAAAACAAAATTAAGTTTTAAATTAAACACATTTTATATGTGCAGCAAACAATAATCAGAATATGGATAGTTGAAAACCAATATACAATGGAATTCCAAAGAGCATGGATGAAAATTACTCGCGAATAATTTTTCACAAGATATGAAGCTCTGTCGATTCCTTAGTTCATATCCATTGAGCAGAAAAGCAAATATTCTTTATTTTATTCTTTGCGTTTTTTCAATTTAGAATCAATTTTCAACTGTTCCTCGAAATAAAAAATAAAACGAAGAAGAAAAAAAAATACAGAAAAAATCACGAGATGATCGTAGGTTATACATCTGAATACAAAGCCTAGCACGTTGTTTGTTTTTAGTAAAAAGCATCTAAGCGAACGACACCTTGTGAGCCAGATTTCTGCTGTCCATCGGCCACAGACGGTGTGTCAATTTTCCTCACCGGTTGACTCGGCTCCTGTTCCTGCTTCTTCTCCTCTTCGTGTCTCCTCTGCTCCTCTTTCAGCCAGCGATCAAAGCTTGTCTCTTTGACTGCGCTGTCACTGCTGGCCGCCGTTAATTCGCCGACCGAAGCTCGCGAGTCGGAAAATTTGCGATGTACCGGCGAGGGCGTCGTACCTTTGGCGTAATTCATCCATTTGGTACTGATCCTCGGTCGGTCACCCTCGCTGGTACGTCTCACCGGCGAAGGGATGTATCGAGCGCCAGTTTCCGGCATCCATCGGTAGGAGACGAGTCGTGATGGATCTGGCGCAGTCGGGCATCTTTCGTTCCACCGCGACGACGAATCGCGATGGAAGAAACTCACGTCTGCGCTCAAGCTACGGCCCGAGGATTGGGCTCGTGGCATCTGCAATACTGGCATTAATTGGCTGATCTCGTCTTCCATTATTGGATATTCCGAGCTATAGTGACCGCTTCGGGAGAGTATTGGCAGCCACTTGGCTTTCGCACTCGCTGGATAGATCTCTTGCTCGTCGAATGTTCTTCTGCGGGGTGATTTCTCCGCTACTGGATTGTAGTAAATGTGTCCTAATAATGCCAATAATCATGCGTGTCAATCAATCTTAATGGTTATGCTACATTTAAATTTGATTTTGAAAAGTCTCATGGCTACGTCTTGGGATACTGTGAAACGTAACTTTGGGATAATTTGAAACAAGTCTGAAAAAATTGATAGTTACCTTCCTTATTGCCAATGGAGATGTTACCACAGCTGCCTCTGGTATTCGTATAGGGGACAGTCATGTGATCCTTGGTCGGTATGGAGGTTCGCACGTGGCTCTTAGGGAAGGGTAACCAACGGGTTATCTCACCGGCCTCGGTATGACGGCGCACCTCCACTTTGCGCTCCATGTACTTTTTCAGGCAATCGACGTCGGCGCTGCGACTGCGCACGTTGCGTGGCGATCGAGACGGCCTTCGTGATGCCTGATCCGAGCCCAGAGGGCTAATGTGGCCCTGTAGATACAAATGCATTCTATTTTTTCAATTTTTTTTTCTCAAAACGTAATAAATCAAATTCGTTTGAATAGAATGTATGTGGAGAGCCACAAAAATTATGTGGCTGGACGTCGTTCGAAAGCATTCCAATGAAGTCTCTGACTGTAGAGGTTCAGCGATTAAACGACACGTCATTTGATGAGAACGTTTAAAAAATATATAATTGTCAATGAAAAGACCAATAGAAGAAATGTTGATGCCAACGTCTGTAGAAATTAATTCGTTATGCCATTACTTAGAAAAAATATAAGCAACGCTTGAAAAAAGTGAGCCTTATGATTTGTCAAAATCAAGGAAAAGAAAAAGAAAAGTTAATTTTCTCCTGTGTTCTGCTAGATGTATCGATCGACTCACCTACGCAAGATGAAGCTTTGCATAATCGCCTATGTGCAAAACTCCGTGCTCGGGAGAAGCAACATGCAAACTAGCGCCGCAAGCACGTGAATTGACTTTCGGATTGTGAAGCTCGGTGATCTGAGTGCTGCACGCTGCTGCGGGATCACCGCTCGCGGTTAGATAATTGCCCCAGAACTCATTTCCTGTAAATAATACAAGAGATTGTTTGTTGAAAATATAAACAATTATTTCGCGGCGAAAGCAGTTTTCTTGTCCGTGTGAGCTTATGACCTGGATAAGAATTGCCATCGGCGGCATAGGTGACGACTAATAATTTGTTGGCGTCGCTGGAGCGAAACAGCTTCGTTTGAGGCTCTCGCAGAGCGAAATGGATTCTGATATCTGCAAGCCGAAATCAAAATGTGCGCCGTCAAAGTGAATTTTCAAAGCACGCGCGCGCAGCGCTTTTCATCGAACGAACCTCCGAGATAATCCCCATTCCCAGCACCGCCGCACTTCTGCTGCCGGAAGAAGGCGAACATTACGTCCGATACGTACCTCAATTTCTTGCCTAGCTTGCGCAGTGCTATTTCGAAAGCCTTCAGGAAGTAAACTTCTTGATCGTGCATGATTTTCCACACCCCTGCGACACATACAGCAGAGCAATGCATAAATATCGGCAAAGCAATGGCGAGCGAGAAAAGCAATGGCCGACCTAATCCAAAGCCAACGACGTGTAGAAAAGCCGTTGTGTTTTGATTCTCAGCTCGTACGTTAGCCTCCAATAGTATCATTTCCACGGACATTAAAGTTCGCTTCATGTAATTCTCGGCATCGAATATTATTTGTCCCGTTAGGGGCACGTATCTTCGATTTTCTTTGGACTTCACTTGTTTCGCTGCCTCCTCGTACAATGGCAGATACTCGTCGTCGTAGAACGATGCCCACAAAAGTCGTAATCCACGATTTTCCTCTCTCGCGTTCTCGTGGTAAGGACCGTACCTATTATGCACATGCAGAACGTCATTTTGTTCGGTTAACCTCAAGGAAACACATTTTCTTCATTTCTTAAACGCGGACTAACTGTTTTTCTAGTTAACTGTGACTTTTCTTCAAGTTTCAGAATTGCGTATTAAAAATATGAACCCACCCGTTTTCATAATTATTCTGCGAATGCGTGATAATGATGTCCTGGTACTCCATAACCTTGGGTTTCTCCAATCTGCAAAACCATGGGAAGAAGAAAAAACTAAAATAAACGAATAAACAGTCGTATACATCTGTGAAGTAAGATATCGTAAAAAAAGGAACTGACCTGCTTCCCACCACGCCGATAATGACCCCGCGCGGCTGTATGGAATCTGGATCGTCGCAAACGATACCTCTGTTCTCGCGTGAGCCGTCATTGATGAATTCCGTATGCGAGGAGACGATAATTGCAGCCGATAGCTTTATCTCGTCGTAGGAGAGACACGACGCCAGTAGCTGCGCAACGGAGAGAAGGAATAATTGCTCGGCGCGGTATGCGCGCATCCTATTCCTTTAATTTAGCACGCGCGCTCGCAGATACGTACGGGGGGGGGGGAGAGCTTGCAGTCTGTTGTAATTATTCTATCTACAGCCAACGTGTAGTTTATCAAATGAGTCTGCTGCACTACACCTGCCTCGGCTATATGTATTTGCGCATATTCGAGACGGAAGCGATGATGCATATATATATATAGTCAGCTATCTCACTATCGCGCTGGTTTTTCGTCGAGCTTTTGCTTTTTTCAATTAGTTTTCTTTAAATTAGCCAGCTATCTTTCAATCGAAACTCATATTTCAAGCGAAAGTGGTCGCCGCGACAGAATCGAGACAACATGTCGTCCGGCTTTCGATAGCTGAAGGTTATAAGATCGAGAAAAGGAATGAACGTTAAATTTTCCAGAGAGGCGCTCGCCACTGCGCAATAGAGCTTTTAACAGATTTATTCACAGCAATGCCAGGCATGCTTTTATCAGAGACAGTATGAATGCTACAGTTTTTTGAACATTTCAAAGGCATGGCGCTCGCGTACAGTGATGCGAAATAAATAAAAAAAATCCCAACCCGCGACCACCAGAGCCAGATCCACCTTCAAACCTTCAATTAGTCGAACGATAAAGACAGTGGCGCGCGTGGGTCTCGCAAGGCACACGATGTTCCCGTCGCGGCGACGAAATATACGCGACAGGTTGACTCACGAGCGGCTCCTTTTCGCGCTCGCTGCCGACGCTTTCCCATCCGCCTGTGCCCGACGAGCCGTTCATCAGGGCGTATCTGTCGTCCGGCCCGTAGAACTGCATGGCCCTTTTCTCCAGTAGCCGCTGAACGAATTGCACGAGGCCCACGTCCTTGTAGAGTGCTCTCTCGACCGGACTGCCGTATTGGCGCTTGTGCTTCAACCAGTTGGCGATCAGGGGTAACACTGCCTCGTGGACTAGCGGGTATGCTGAGTTGGCGTTCAGCTGTATAACAGAGGCAAAGTAACAACGGTTTACCGGAGGGAACGTATGCAAGTGCACATACGCAAAAGAAGCGATACAAACGACCTCGTTCGAGTCTTTATTTCATTCGTATTGATATTAAGCTGTCGCAGGCCTCGAGCGATACGTGTGCGTATTAGTAACAAATATTTACATTATGCATTTTCGCTTTGCAAAAATATTTGCGAAAAATATCGGACATCGATATTCTAGTTAAAGCTGTGCGACCGAACAAAGCTTTTAGTTTTATAGACGTTTCCGAGTAAAAATCTACAACATAGTCTACGAAAATTTTCAGTTGTAAATCCGAAGCCAAATGCTAAGTATACAGCTTGACTTATTATGCATTAGAAAAGAAAAATATTTGAACGACTACATTGCCGAAGGTTAGATAGAGCAAAGATTAACAGAGCCAACCTCAAGAGTGTCCATTCCGATACCGCGGTCTCTGAGCGCGCGACACCGCACCGCGCTGACAGGAAACGGCACTGGAAAGTCCTCGCTACGTTTGATAATTTCCGTGAGGGTAACAGGTGCCGGCATCTTCACGTCAAGGCAGCCGCGGAGCAATTCTCTCGTGGCGTCGTCGAAAGCCACACCGCTGTCCGTGCCCAGCGTTTTGTCCCACTTGATCTCCGGCGGCTCGCGCAGCAACTTGCGCTCCTCCATTCTTCGATGGTGCTGCAAGCATTACGTTCCTGTTTCCGAGCCGACGACAATTAAATCTCGGGTTGTCCTTGCGTTCGCGGGCCTAAGGGCCTTTCTAGTTTAGTCCTGTTTCATTTTGCGCGCACTTTCGAAGAGTTTCAAATTGCAACTGCACAGGCTGATAATGTTGAAAAACTGCGACAATAACGACGGACAGTTACGGATCGAGCTCCGATGTTACAACTTGTTTGTTTGTAGTCGTGCATGCGCGAGCTTTTAATTCGAGAAAATTGACGTCGACTGTTTCCGCGTGTAATGAAAAAGTCGAAGTACCACTGCGTATATTTTGCTTCGTTTTTGTGCTTTTCAGACGCAAGATCGATATGGGTTATTGGGTTATTTTGAAGAGTGAAGAGTAAAACGTTGTCTTTCTTTTATTTTCTGCATGTATGCTTGCATGGACCTACTATCAAAAATAAAGCTAGGTCAACTCTGTAAAATTAAATTGTTTTGCCATGATACGTTTGCACCGTTGATTCGATAATTCGGATGTTTTGAAACTTAAAAAAATTTTTAAATTTAAAAGATTAATTTTGAACATTAGCTATTGAAGAAAAAAATGTATATTCTGTATGAATGTATTTACATTGACCTTCCGTAAACAATAAAAGCTTGTCATTTCATTGTTAGACAAATCGATAATTCAAGTTGTTTGTCATAACCATCAATTGTCTTGTAATAAGTGTAAGTTGTTGATGTAACCATTCGGACGATTAGCATGATATAAAAATGTTGAGAGAACAATGACTTGAACGTATAGATAAAGCTCGGGGCATTGTCTAGCGTGGCAATAGTTTTTGTTCCTCGATTCTCGTGTAGTACTACATAACATAGGTAACACGGAGGCGAAGTCAGGTCATCTCTCTATCACTGTTTTTTCCTGTTTTTTTATTTTCTCTATTAATAACACAGGCTGCGATTGGAGCGCAAGGCCGAGTTGGCTTGTCGCTCTGTGCCTTTGACTCGCGGGCATGAAATCCGCTAAGTAGCGGAAAATTTATCCGTTCGCCCCTAGCGCATGCTAGCAGCTGAGAGAGCATGGTTAAGCTTCGTCGCCGCCCTCTTGTTGCTCAGTCTGATGTGTGTGTGTGTGTGTGTGTGTGTGTGTGTGTATGTGTGTGTGCATGTACGCGTGTGTTTACACGTTATTTTCTTGCCGGATCACAGGCAGGGGTTCGAATTTTCTTTTCTTTTGTCTTTTTCCTCGCTCGATCCTTCGATTCGAGGACGAAAAACCGGCCTATCTAAATTTACGCCTTTTGTTCCCGCGGGCGAAGAGGTTTCTGATATTATCCAGATATATAACAATGCGCCAGAGCTTTCAGATGAATTCACTGCCCGAGACGGCCAAACGGATTTTTCGATGTCTGCATCAGTTGCACAAGTTCGTTCGAATGGAAATTCTATTCCGTGTGTCTGTATTGTATGAGTTTATTCATTGCAAGTATTAATAGAAGCTTATTCGATACGATGTAACATTTTCGCTTGATTTATTTGACCGTCTACGAATTCTTTCGGTTTTAGAAGCTTCTGATTACTTTTTTCAAAAGGCGCCAATCAGTTGAATTTGTAGAGAAATCGCGGACTACATTAATATTTTGAAATTTTTATAGTTTCTTTTCCCATTCGGGCTAACGATAGCCTCTATTTTTATAAAATAATGAACTAACATTGCCAAACGTTGCAGTCGATTGCTGCGACGCAGCACCAAAAATTCAATCTCGTTATTTTTTCTAGTTTAGTTGTTTCTAGTTTACGACCAACTGCGTTTTCCCAGCAGACGAACGGATAGTTATAAATGCGTACATTAAACGTAATTACTGTTATGAAAATATTCCTTCGCCTTGCAAAGTCACGCAAAAATTTTTAATTGAAGGTGGTTCTTCGTCCCAGTACTCGGCAGCGTAAGATGATCACGCGCGATGGAATGAGAAAAATAGCA